AGAGAGAGAGATAAAGAGAGATGAGAGAGAATCAACAGGGAAAGCGAGAGAGAGAGAGAGCGGCGTCCCGCATCTCTCCTCATGCCCCCTCTTTGAGGATTGGGGAGGCCGAGCATGATGAGCATCACGGACAGAAGAGCGAGAGCTTGCTTCCCCCATCTCCCACCCGAACTCCGTTTCCCTCGAGCTCGTATGCTCCCTATTCCTTACCCGCTTGTCCATCGCATCCCTGCTTCTCCGGACGTTCCTTCATGTTTGCTGGCGCTGCTTTGTTGAAGACGCAGCGATGGCAGAGGAGGCGAGGAGGCGCCGTCCTGGGCTTGCCTGAGAGGAGAGCCCACAGTGAGCGCTTGCGGCCTTGGTAGTAGCGGTCCGTTCTCCCCCCTCAGCATCCATCTTCTCCTCCTTTCCACTTCTTCTCCCCCTCCTCCTCCCGTCTCATCTTTTTCGTCCCTCATCCCCCTGCTCCTCAATCTCATCTGCATCCTTCCACGCTTCCCTTCGCCTCCCTCGTCTTCCCCTCTCCCTCCCTCTTATTCCTTCCTCCCTCCTTCGGCTTCGTTTGGCAAGGCACGCATCAACACTTGTGTCCCTTCCCCGGTCACTATTGTTCAAGGGGGCTGGCTGTTTTTGCGACCCCTCGGATCCTCAGCTTGGCATCGGTCCCAGAGGCTCCCGAGGTGGTCGTGGAGCTTGTGGGCGTCGAGGTGGCCGCCGACGTGAGGGAGGGGGTCATGAGGGCCATCACGAAGTACGTAGAGGACATGGTTTGCTCTGCCGCTGTATCTTGCCGCTCGCAGAGCGGTAGCGGTGTTAACCCAAGGTTGCAGGACACCCTTTGGGTCATGGAAAAGAGAAGGGGATAATCGATGAAAACGTGACTTCGGTGGGTGTCGGCGGGAAGGGGAAGGTACCCGAATGATTGATGCCCTCGTGCTGACCGCCTTCTAGGAAACGGTGCTGGGCATCGGCTGGGCCAGGTTCGCTCGAGGGGGGGAGAGGAAGGAAGCGTATCGGTGACTGCCCAGGTTGGCCAAACTGACGCAAGCTGCGGAGTGTCCGGCATGCCTCGACGCGATCGCTTCCGCCAAACCTTCGCGGGGCGTGGCCCGCCGTTTGGGCTCCGCCCAGCCCTTCACGGGGAAAGAAGCGGGTCGGGCCCTGGGAGGAACACGCGGGGCATTTGCCTCATCCTCTGGGCCTCCTGTAGTGCCTGCGACCAGCTCACCTCAAGCACGTCGTGGACTTACATTCAGTTCTGGGTATTCGGCAGGGCCATGGCGAGCGTCCCCACTGTCTTCGGGGCGACCCTGGCGCGGGTGGAGGCTCGCTCCGGTTTTGAGGGGGCGCTGGCGGGGAACTCCGCCGTCTGGCGGGCGTTGGAGTGGGGCGCGGTTCAATGGGGCTTTTGGACGCTGTGGTTCGGAAGGCTCCTCGACGCCCACTGGTTGTCGTGACCGCGACGGAGCTGTGCGCCGTGGGGGACGGTACCGCGATGGTCTTGCGCATCTTGCGAGGTGCTGGCTCGTCAAGCTGCACGGGGTCCCACGCCTGGGAAAACTCCAGCCCATGCCGCCCCAGGACTTGTGCTTGCGCGCAGCCGGGTTGGTTAGCAGGTTGACTCGCACGAAGAAGACGGGATCGGCAAGAAGGTGCGGATCCTTCCGCTGGTCATCCCGGCGGGCAGCAGGCTTGTGGAGACGATTTGGATCGGCGTTTGATTTAGGCTTTGATTGTCAGCCGCCCCGTGGGAGAGGTATCGTGTCACGCCCCGCGCAGGAGATGACCTTCAGAGTTTTGCGCGCGCACCCCTGGCCTGGAGCAAGTCCGGCCAGTTTTGTTTCTTGTGTACGCCTGGGGCGCGGCGGTCGGTGTGAGGGGGATGCGGCACGCCCCTTGGTCTGTTGCCTTCATCTTGCAATTCCTCAAGAGGGAGTTCGAAGGCACCAGGAGGAGTACACCAGTCCCCGCTTGCGGGAAGAACCATGGCATTGCTATCTGGGCAGACACGAAGGCTGATGGGGACGGTTGTCAGGGTCATTGGGTGGGCGTGCCTGGGTGATATTTCTCCCCAGAATGCTCGCTGGTTAGCGGTGGAGCTGACTCGTGCTAGTGCTTCTAGGATCTACGCGAAAAGGGAGCCCTACAGGGTCACTGCAGGGTTGGATCTCTGCGCCACTCTCCTCTGCATCAAGGTTTCGGCGGGGAGTGGAAAGGATGGGAGGCAGGTCCGGTGACCCTGTCCGGTGTCACGGGTAATCCGGGCAACGCGTTCTGTTTGACCCGACTCATGGCGTCGGGGGCCCTCGTTGTAGTTGTTATCACGGAAGTCGCCGTGCAGTTCAGGGAGAAGCGTTTCAAGTTGTAGCTGTTTTCGGCGAACCACGAGCAGGACGAGGAGACCGATGCCCGCGCCATCGGCGATTTTTGTGGTTTATCTCGCTGGACAATCAGATCCCCGAGGAGATCGACAAATTTGGTTTCAGGTTCTTCCGACGATGTTGGAGATCTCGGCCTCGCCGTTCGAGGACGTGATGCAGCGGAAAAGGGCCCTCGGGGAGGCGGGCGCGAGGGCCGCGAGGAGGGCGCCGGGGGACAAGCTGAGACAGCGGGAGACGCTGTGAGGGTGGTGTGCCGTAGGGGTCAGGCCGGGGGGTGTCCCGGTGCCGGCGTGCGCGTTAGGAGGCATGTAGGGCCTCGGAGGTCGGCGACCCAAGATGTAGAAGGAAACGCCCCAGAGGTCGGCGTCTCCCTCCGCCCTCCTCCCCCTTCTCCTCCTCCTGTCCTCCTCTTCCTCCTCCTGTTCTTTCTCCTGATCGGCCTCCTCCTGCACCCCTCCCCCAGCTTGAACTCCATTGCGCCTCCTCCACTTCACCCTCTTTCCTTATCCACCCTCCTTCCTCCTCCCTCTCCTTGTCTACTACCCCCCTTTGCTCATATCTCCTTGCCCTCCCCTCCGATGTCCTCACCATCCCCCTCTCCATTAATCCTCCTCTCCCTTCTCCCTGTTTCTCCCTCCTCCTTCGCTCCCTTTTCCCGCATCATCCTCTTCCCTCTTCCCAATCCCCATCTCCTCCTAGGCCCTAGGCATCCTCCACTAGTCATCGTCCTTCTCGTCCCTTCTTTTTCTGTTGCGGTTCCCCTTCGTTATCACCATCAGCATCTCCTGCAAATCCAATAAATGTGAGAAGGGAGAGTAAAAAGGAAGCCAGGAAAAAGGGAGGACGACAAGAGTAAGTAATGGAGGGAATCTGTTGTTTCGCGACGTGACCACTCTCTTCTAGCGGCGTGTCAGTGAGTGCGTTGTAAGGGGCGGAAGGGGGAAGGGGGACAAGAAGGATATACTCACCCTCGATCATCATCCTTCTCACCCTCGATAATCATCCTTTTCCTACCTTGCTTGCCAATGCACAGCGTGTGGTGTCGCCACAACCATGGTGAGCATCGAGGGCTTCGTCTGGAGGAGAAGCACTCGGTGTCTGAGGGGGAGGAAGGGAGGAGGACGAAGACGTCAAGGCTGGGGATGTCATTAGAGGAAAATTGGACAATGTGGAAGTGTCGGAGCGCGGGAGTTGTCACAGTAGGACGTGGAGGTGTCACAGTAGGGCAGGAGGACGTGGATAAGGAGAGGAGGGGGACGATCAGGAGAGTGAGGACATGATAACCTGTGAAGGGTGGAGGAGGATGATGGAGAAGGATGGCGGCAGTGGCATGCAAAGGCGAACAACCTCCCTGGCCCATTTCGGACCCCGTAGTGACGGAAAACAAGCAGGGCGGTCGAGAAGGCACGAACGAGAGGCACGGTCGATATTGTCCAGGGACCGACGGCAGAGGTCATTCAAGATCGACCGACCCACGCGGTCTCAGAGGCCAGGGCGCACGCCGTCCAGGCAGGAACTTGCAGAATGTAGCAAGTCCAGGTGCCAGGAACAGCTTGGAGCCATCAGCGGGCAGGACTTGGAGCGAGCGTCTTGTGACTACAGTGAAAGCCCATTCCAAGAAACAACCTGCTCGCCTCCAGGGTGCCTTGGGTTTCTTGGGTTTCAATGGGTTTGCTGCCAAAGCGTGACGTTCCCACACCGCAAAACAATTGACGTCCTGGGGTCTCAGGGTTGGGTTTCTTGTGGAAGGTCTCTTGTGGTCGAGCTCCTACTGTATCCCTACCCCTCTATCCCAACCCGCACTTGCTGTTTCGCACAGGCATTGTCGTTTCCAGCAACGGGTTGCAACTTTTAGCGCCATGCGCTGCTGCGGCGTAGCATGCTGCGGGCTGCTGGTGACGCTCCTGGCGGTCTTAATCGGGGGTGGCCAGTACTACTTGCAGCAGCCTCCGTATGCGGAGATGGCAGTAAGGAAGCTCGTTGAGTTCGGCGGGATCCCCGACAGAATTTTTGACATCGTGAAGGTGAAAGACGACAGCGCCTGGTACGATATCATCACCAAGGGAAACTTGGGCATTGCAGAGGGTTACATGCATGGCAAAATTGACCTTGACCCTCTCGAGATGTTCCTCGTGATTTTGAATGACACTTCGCTTGGCACTCGCCGGAAAGAGAAGGTCGACTACCTCGGCCTCGTCATGGGCGCCCTCGATGCCCCCGCCAAAGCGATCGCGAGCGTTTTCAACCTGCAGACGCGCGAGATGTCAACGCGTGTGACGAAGCAACACTACGACGCTGGCAATGACCTGTACGAGGTCATGCTTGGCCCCAGCATGTCCTACACGTGTGCGTACTGGAAGGACGCCACAAATTTGAACGATGCGCAGATGGCCAAGTTCGATCTGGTGTATAGGACGGGACAGAAAGTGGACGAAGAGCAGGTGGTGGCGGAATTCGAGGAGGAAGGGGTGGGGGGATGAAGGGTAGGAGGAGGAGGAGTGGAATAATGAGGAGGAGGAGAAGGAAGGGGAGGAAGATGATGAAATAGCGGGAAGGGGAGGTGGAGAAGGATGAGAAGGATATGTAGGATTCCCAAGGAAGCTCGAGTCCGAGCCGGGCATGAAAGTCGCGGACCTTGGCATGGGATGGGGCACTGCGGCTGCGTATATGCACGAACATGGCAAGGTTTGGTTCTTACCTGCTCCCCCTGCTCATGTTGCTGCTCCTCCCCTCTCCTCGGCACATGTCCTGTCGTCCTTCTCGTCCTGCCGCTGCGCCCATTTCTCACCTTCTTTATCATGCAGCTGCTGCCCCTTTATGCCCCTCGTGTTGCTGCTGACTCTCCTCCTCGACAAAATCCTCTCTCCTTCCATTCCTCATGCCCTTCCTCCTGCTCCTTCTCCTGCTGCTTCTACGGTTTCTAACCCTTGACCCTATTTTCATACCCTCTTCCTTCTCCATCTTATTCCCTGGTCTTTCTCCTTCCCCATCTTTTCCTGCTTCTACTCCTCATTTTCCTCTTCTCCTGCTGTTCTCCCCCCTCATGCTCCTCCTCCTCTTTCTCCTCTTCCTCCTCCTCCCATCTCAAGCTCGACGTTACGGGCGTGTCCCTCAGCGAGCAGCAAGTCAAGTGGGCAAAGGAGAATCTTGCAAAGCCTGGGCTCAAGTTCGTGTGGTCTGATTACCGGGACCACTGCGAGGACCCTGCGATCGCCGGCACCTATGACCGGGTCTACAGCATCGGTATGTTTGAGCACCTCGGCCCCAAGAACTACGAGTCTTTTTTCAAGTGCGTCAAGGCCCTTCTGAAGCCAGACGGCTTGGCAGTGATTCACACCATCGGTGAGCCAGATTATCTTCCCATCAGTGACCCGTTCCTCGAGAAGTACATTTTCCCGGGCGCAGTCATACCCACAATTTCTGGGATGAGTGCAGCATTCGAGAACCACTTCATCCTTGAAGACTTCCAGAACTTTGGGCACGACTACTCGAAGACCCTGGCCGCTTGGCACGTGAACTCGCTGGAGTTCTTCAAGCAAAAGCCAGAAGCGTACACGCCCGAGTTCCAGCGCATGTGGCACTACTACCTCAAGATGTGCGAGGCGTGCGGTCGTCTGCCCCCTCCACAAGGGCCATCAGGGGGCACCAGGAGTTGCCAATCGGGTCCTCATGCGGCCCACAAGCTATCAAACACGGTTGTCTCCTGACGTATCTGTTTTCTTCGGGGCACTGGCAGAGGTTCGTTGATTGGTCCTTGTCCCCCCTCCCACCCCCCGAGGGGGCAGGCGAGCAGGCGCAGGACGAGGAGAAGGAGGAGGAGAAACATGAGCAGGAGGAAAAGCGGCAGTAGCACCAGGAGGGCGGATGGAGAAGGGAGACGGAGAGAGCAGTAGGAAGGGATGGAGGGAGGGAGGATGAGGAGAGAGGGGGAGGAGGAGCAGGAGGAGGAGGAGGAGGAAGCGGAGGAGGAGGAAGAGGATGAGGAGATAGGATGATGATGATGATAATGATGAGGATGATGATGGTGATGGTGATGCTGATGTTGACGATGACGAGGATGATGCTGACGATGATGCTGATGATGATAGTTATTATGATCATAATGTTGATGATAACGACGATGATGATGCTGGTGCTGATGCTGATGTTGATGCTGCTGATGATGCTGGTGATGATAATGATGATGAGGATTCTGATCCTGATGATGATGATGAGGAGGAGGAGGAGGAGGAAGAGGAGGAGCAGGAAGAGGAGGAGGAGGAGGAGGAGGAGGAAGAGGAGGAGCAGGAAGAGGAGGAGCAGGAGGAAGAGGCGGCTGCGGCGGCAGCGGCGGGGAGAAGGAAGGGGAGCAGCAGCAACAGCAGCTGCAGGAGAAGGAAGAGAAAGGTAGGGGGCAATGAGGGAGGGAGCCAGGAGGAGCTTCCGAGCGACGACGACGACGACGACGAAGGCCTTATGTGGGTACCCGGCTGGCCACGGCGCGAGGCGCTCTTCGAGCTCCGCATCAACCAGCTGTGGCACTTCGTGCTGTCGCCGAGGCCGGCCACTCGGAAGCGCATCAGCAGGCAGTTGTGAGCCCCGCCTCGCGCAGGCGCAGGGGCGCTCGCCTGCCCCCAGCCGAGAGGGGCAGGAGCATGGGAAGCGGGGGGGGGGTCGGAACGGCCCGGGATGAACACACGGCCTTGGATAGAGGGTCGGTTCTTCCAGGGATCGCGTATTGAAAGGGGAGGTGGAGGGGAAAGAAAAGGGGTGGGGGAAAGGAGGAAAGGTTGGGGAGATTGAGCGTGCGGGTGACGGACGGGGCGGGGGATGGAGGGGGGGCCATGAGGGTAGGGAGTGGGCAGCAGGAGGGAGGGAGGATCTTTTGGGATTCAGCCTGGCGCTGCAACAGCTGTCTGCCGTGAGGGATGGAGGGAGAAGGGGGAAGGGGGGGGGGGGCGACGGAGGACGGGCAAGGAGGAAGGGTGGATGAGGTGGAGGTGGAGTAGGAAGCCGAAGGGAAAGGAAGAAAGGAAGAGGAGGAGGAGGAGGAGGAGGAGAAAGGGGTAATAGCAAAAGGAGGAGGAGGGGTCATAGCAAGAGGAGGAGGAGGAGGAGGAGGTGGTGGAGGAGGAGGAGAAAGGGGCGAGGCAGGAGGGATGAGTAAGGATAGGAGCAGGGAGGATTGAGCGCCCCCCCCCCAGTTCCTAGTTAGATGTAGGAGCACGAGGAGGGAGAATGGGACAACCGGGAGCCGCTCGACAGCACGCGCCGCAAGGGGCGTTCTCTCAGGAGGCTGGCCAAAGCGGGCTATCTGGCCGAGTCGGAGGGCAAGGTCCCACGAGGTTAGCAAGAAGAGTGCACTTGCGCGCGCTCCCCCGTCCTCCCCCTCTTTTCTCCACTCTCCTCCTCGTCCCTCCTCCCTCTTCTCCTCCCCCGCCTCCTCCTCCCTAATCCCCATGCTTCTTCTCATCCTCCTTTCTGCTGCTTCGTCCTTCCTTCCTTCTCCTCCTCCTCCTTCTCCTCCTCCTCCGTTGCCATTTTGGTTCAAGTGGGAGTGGGCAGCTCTCTTGCGAGTGGGCAGCTCTCTTGCGAGCGTTCCAGCGTGTCGTGCGATGGCGGGCACCTTCAGTTGTTCTCCCTTTTTGGCCCCACGCGCGTCACACCAGTCAGTCTGGTAATGGCCAGCCCAGCAGAGGCAGCATCTATGCCTCCAGTGAAGAGTAGCGATGGGAGCTCAGAACGCCAACAGCCATCGCCTTTTGGCCCTGCTTCAGAGGCCATGCTGCCCACGCAGATGTATGCCAGACAGGGGAAGCAAGGCGGCAAGAACGGCAAGGATGGCAACGACAAGGGCAAGGGTCACAAAGACAAAAGCTTCGACCCGCTAGGCGCCAAAGGCCCGTGGGCACATCATCGACGGAAGCGTGGAAGTGCGGTTGCCGCTGAAGCTCACCCTGATGGCCCACTACATAAGACGCCCGTTGTCCCTGATTCGGACGATGAGAAGACCACCGTGGATGAAAAGGGATCGGCCAGCAAGAACCCCTGCATGAACGACGGCGGATCCCAGGGCTTTCTCGACGCCTAAGGTGCGCTGGAGGCCGATGGCCTCGACCCTGTGGGGGCACCTCTCGCTGGCGCTCTTCATCCTGGCTCTCCCACCGTTCCCCCGCAGGAGCGTGAGCCACCGTTGAAGTACGACATGGACAAAGACGACTTGCCGTCGCCCACGGCTAGAGGAAGCGAGATGAAGGAAAGCACCGACGATTCCGATGGCGACAGCCAATCTCACGAAGTTCCTGATCCATCCAAGGAAGATATACCTAACCGTCTCTCGCCGAGCGGATGAATTTCATGAAAAGCATGGAGGCCGACAGGAAGAAGGAAGCCGTCGCCGTCGAGACCGAAGGCGACCAGACCCTGAGGACGCACGACGACGCCATTGCAAATATCAGCGCGAGGACGGACCAGCAGGAGCGCCCGGTTCGTCAGGCGGTGGAACAAGCTTAGTCATCAGCGGTGCTCGAGCAGCTGGAGGCCAGGCTCGAAGCCAACCTCGATATTAAGTTGAAAGTCGTGTCTCTCCCGCCGTCGACTGCGCCCTCCCTCGTTTCGTTCTACCGCGTTAGCCTCCAGTGCGCCAACATCCGCTGGCGGCCCTGCCAATGACCAAGCATATACTGTTCCATGCAAGGTATGGGTCGGCGGGTTCTCTAACAAGATGTTGGTCTCAGTGATGCATGCGCATGCGAAGGCTGGCGCGGTCAACATGCCAAAGGATATGGCCATGTACGCCGAAGCCAAGGCGTAAAGCCTGAACCGAAGCTGCTCGATCCAATCTGGCTCCAACCTGCACGCGAAGACGTTTTTGGACAGGGCGCGGACAGAGGTCCTCGCGTGGACGGAGAAATCGCATCAGCGTCACCTCATTCGTGCTCGATGGAGGCGACCCCAGACATTCGGAAAAATAACCGGTACTGGGGTCTCCTCTGGCAGCAATGCGTTGAACACATGAAGAAGGAAGGCGCTGTGGTGCACGCAAGCACTGTACTGTACACGTGCGCTGCGTTCTGCACGGATGTTGCGGTATACGCAGACCCGGTGGTGTGCACGCGCGCCGTGGTGTACGCGAGCATTGTGGTGTACATAGTCGCTGTGGTGCAGATCGCCACCTGCATGCTGTTCTCCTCCGGTTCGTCCTCCTCCTGCCCCTCCTCCTTCTCTTTTTCCTCCTTCTTATCCTTTTACTCCCCGTCCTCCCCCTCGTTCCCCCCCTCCTTCTCTGCCCTTCTGTTCCAGCCCCGTCCTCCTCGCCCTGCTCCAGGGGAGTGGGGCTGGAGAAAGGAGGGAGGAAGAGGAGGAGGAGGATGAGGAGGGGAAGGAGCAGGAGGAGGAGGGGGAGGGAGAAGAGGGGTGCACACAAGGTTATGACCCTCCGCTCGGCGGTTGTGTTTTGTGCAATTTGCCAAGACCTTCGCCAGGGGCACAAACAACCGACGGCGGGCGTCGGGCCGCAGGCCCCAGGGGGAGGCTTTGAACCTGTTGAATTTGATGTGGGGTGTGTGTGGGTGGCTTGTGTTGCTTCCCTTGCAGTCGTCGTCATTGTGGTCGAGGGGAGGAGGAGGAGGAGGAGGAGGAGGAGGAGGAGGAGGAGGAGGAGGAGGACGGAGAGGGGGAGGAGGAGGAGGAGGAGGAGGAGGAGGAGGAGGAGGAGGGAGGGAGGAGGGAGAGAGGGAGGAGGAGGAGGAGGAGGAGGAGGAGGAGGAGAGGATGAACAGGAGGGGGGAGAAAATGGGAAGGAGGGAGGGATGGGAGGGAGGGGCGAGGGCCGGGCAGGTGCACTCATCTTGTTCCCCCGCTTTGCTTGTCACATTCGGGGAGCGGCCGTTGGCTGGCGCGCTGGGCGCCGCAGGGCCCACTTGTAGTAATTCGAGGCCTGTGCTGTCTGGCCTCTTCCCCGTAAGTCCTCTCCCTGCGAGGCCGACGTCGACGAACGTCGTGCTCCTGCTCATTCGCATGTTAGGGCAGTGCGGGCCTGGGCTTCGTGCGGATTGCCTTCGTTAATCTTGGCTGCCTTCGTTAATCTTGGCATGGTTCGAAAGTGATTTCGGCATCCGAGGGCTCCTCCTCATCCTTTCCTTTTCCTCCTCATCCGCTTCTTCGGCCCTCTGCCCCTCCCCCTCCAGCCATCCTCCCCCCTTCTCTAACTTCTCTTCCGTTCTCCCCGCGTCACCAGTTGTATTCCTTTCCTCCTTTTCCTCAACCTCCTCCTCCTTCTCCTTCTCCCCTTCCTTTCTTCCCATACGCTTCCTCATCCTTCCCCCCTCCCCCACCCCTCTTCGGCGTCGTCGTCGTCCTCCTCATCCTTATGATGTCTCTCTCTCTCTCTCTCTTTCTCTCTCTCTCTTTTTTCTCTCTCTCTCTCTCTCTCTGTCTCTCTCTCTCTCTCTCTCTTTCTCTCTCTCTCTCTCTCTCTCTCTCTCTCTCTCTCTCTTCGGAAACTGGAACATGTACATTACCAGTGGCGGGCTGTTTTTCAATCCCAGGTTTTCCGGAGGGTCGAGGACGACGCTGGGGTGGTGTGGTGTATACTTGTTTCCCCGATGTCCCGGGACAACAACGAAACATGTATAAACCAGGGTCCCGTATACACCGGGATCCGCTCTCCAGTGCAAATTCCAACGCGGGGCCGGAAGAAGCGTCGGTGTGTAGAGTTCGACACCCTATCTCTTTCTTTCTTTCTTCCTTTCTCTCTCTCTCTCTCTCTCCTTCTATATATGTATATGTATATGTATACAGATATATATATATATATATATATATAGAGATATATCACCCTCCTCCCCTTTCATTGAATGTCATTGTTGCTTTGCCATGTCTTTTCGGTGGCCCGACGTTCTAAGCAAAACGGCCCACGAGGTCTCCGAGCCTCCCCACCTCTGGTGGACAATAACTATTGTTTTCTATACCGATGTGGCTTGCTGTGTTGGCTTGGCTCAGGGTTTTACTTCGTGGCTTTGGTTACGGCTGAAAGAATGACCGATTGATAGGAACCATATGATGTGCTGGATGTGGGGGTCGCGGTGGTAGAAACGGAGGCCCCACCATCACCGCCACGCCTATTATCCGGTGGCGATGGGGAGGTATTGGCTGTGGTGTTGATGGTGGGTGTGCTGGTGGTGATAGCAGCAATTACAGGAATGTCCACAGTCTGCTGATGGGGGTCGCACTCACAATCGTCGCAACCAAATGTGCCGCCCACAGTGACCTTGAAAGGATGCGGGGGGTCGGTGGAGTAGTATACACGTTGGTGGTAGAAGCAACCGAGGAAGTATGGCCGGGTGTTGGCGGATGTAGCGGTAGCGGTAGTTGAGGATCGCCTCCAGCGCCACCGCGACCATCGCCTGCCAAAGGCAGTGTTGGCCGCGGGATAGGGAGGGGGGAGGGGGAGCACTGGTGGTGGCGGAGGTGGTGGTCGCGGCACAGACAACAGCAGTGGACGCATTCGCAGACGTTGGCAGCGTGATCGTAGCGATTGGAGAGGAGGCGCCTCGACCACCACCACGGCCACCACTGCCAACCCCCACATGCACAAAGTTCGGCGGTGCGATTTGAGCGATGGCGGTGGCGGCGGTGGTGAAACCAGCCGCGCGCGCACTAGTATAACTTGGTGGTGGTGGTGGTGGTGGTGGCATTGGGAACGCCGCCACCACCGCAACCATTGCCCTCACCACCACCGCCACCCGCTTATCCAAAACGAGTGGTGGTGGTGGTGGCAGCGGAGTAGAATTAATAACGAGATAATTGCGGCGACGGAGGCGATGATAACAGCGGGTAGTTACACCGTCAGGAAAGGCACTCGTGGACTTGAGTGTTGGCGTTGGCAGGATGGCGTCGCATCCACCATCACATCCACCGCTGCGGCCGCCATCCTTGGTCAAGAAAAGGGTAGTGGCGGCGGCGATTTGGCAGGATGGTGGCGGCTGTTGATGCAGTTGCGGCGGCCGCAACGACAGTAGAAAGTTCCGCAACTGCACAGCTTTACCCTCATCCTCTTATCTCTCTGCTTCTGCTGGCCGTCCATTCCCCTCGATGGAGGTGCTGGCGGTAGCGGGGGGGGGAGATCGCATCCACCACCACAACCACCACCGCCACCTCCTTCACTCAGAAGAGGCATTGGAGGTGGTGGTGAGGTCGGATGTGCGGCGGCGTATTCAAATGTGCTGGCGGCGGTTGCATCCGCCCCGTAAGTGTCAACCGATGGTGGCGCGTGTGGCATTGGAAGGGTGTGCAAAGCCGCCACCATCTCCATTCCTGGCCCAGGACGGGTAGCGGCGGTGGCGGTGGAGTACCGCTGGTGGTGGTGGTGCAATGGTTCGAGCGGCAGTGGTGGTGTCGCACCATTGCTGACAACCGTTGTAGTAGTGAGTGGTGGCGCTCGGAAGTCGCACGCGCGTAAGTTCGTAGAATCAGGAGGTGTCGGCGGCGGTGGCAGTGGGATCGCCTCCAACGCCGCCAGTATCACCGCCGCCACCATCACCCAGGCCCAGAGGGGGTGGTGATGGTGCCGGCGTAGTCCTGGTTGTGGAGTAGCGTTGGCGGCGGTGGGGGCGTGGCGGCACCAGCTGCAGCATGAGTAGAAGCACGCGTAGAAGTGAGTGGTGGTGACGGTAGGAAGGGCCGAATTCACTTCCACATCCACCACCATCAGCCCCTTGGCCAGCGAAGGGTAGCGGCGGCGGCAGAGGAGTAGTACTGTCGTGGGGGGTCGAACGCATCTTCATTATGTGGAAGAGTAAGCGAATTTTTCTGAATCAGGAATAGGATGGCGAAATACACGGCGATTCTGTTTGCAGAGGATTTCACAAGAACCAGTTCAATAGAACTCCTTGTTGCGTAGGACTTCAATAAGATTCCCATTCTGCGGGATTTCACGGATCTTTCGGTCGTAGAGGATTTCCAGCGGATTTCTTTTGCAGACGATTTCAACCGGATTTTTTTTGTAAAGGATGTCAATCGGGTTCCTTCTTGTCGAGGATTTCAATAGAATGCCTGGTGTGAAGGATTTTTATCAGATTCCTTTTGTATGGGGTTTTCAGCCGGATTCCTTTTGCAACGGATTGCAATACGCTTCTTTTATGCAAGAGGTTTTTGACCAGATTCGTTTTTGAGGATGTCAAAAGGATCCCTTTAATCGAGGATTTCAGTAGAGACCATTTGTAGAGGATTTCAATAGACGGCCTTGTTGAGGAGCACTTCAGTATAATTAGTTCTGTCGATGATTTCAGTCGCGCTCCGTGCGAGGAGGATTTCCATTTAAATATTTGTGTGGTTGGTTTCAACGGGATCCATTGTGTGAAGGATTTCAATATGCGTCCTTTCGTGGTGGGCCTCATCAGAATTCCACCCACATTGTTTTATAACAAGCAATGTGTGGAATTTCCGAAATCGAATGATCAGGTTTCGCCTGTGGTTCCATCCGAGTTTTTAAATCCAATGATTTCGTTCCTCGTGCATTTTCATGTCGGCTGTTGTGCGTTTTCAGAGAGTATCAAGCGAAACTTGTTTTCACATATACGTATGTATATGTATATATAACAAATAAATAGAGACTCGATCAAACGATTGAAGAGGTTCAAGAAACTCAAAAATGCAGGGAAGGTGATTTTAGTCAGATTATGATAAGCCAGATTCCGGTTGTAGCGGATATCATCTGGATTCTTTATGTGCAGGATTTCGTTTGGATTCGGTTTGTAAAAGTTTTCAATCGGATTCTTCTGGTGAGATATTGGAATCGGGTTCTTGATGAACGGAGTTTCGACGTGTCCTTGCGTGGAAGACAATTCATTCGGATTCCTTTTTGTGTGGAGTTTCCGTAGGATTTACCAATTGATTCCTTTTGTGGCGGATTTGTACGTTGTTTCTTTTTTTTATGGCGGGTGTACACGTTGATTTGTTTTTTGTGGCGGGTGTACAAGTTCATTATGTGTAGTGCGTTTGCGACCAGAACAGGCTCCTCCAACATGTTGAATTTGTTCCCCCCGAGGAGATTCCCAGAACACCCAATTCTCTCTGGGGCCCGCGGCGAGGACAAATCCATCCACCAGAAGTTTTGGTTCAATGGGGTCAGAACTGGACGGGTCGCCTTGTCCTGCTCCTCGTTGGGGTCTAAGGTCGATGAGGAGGGGACAGCGAGTATCGGAAGGGTGTGTGAACGTTTTGTGCGCCTTGGGTGGATCTGAAAGGATTTGGGGGCCCCGATGGGGTCTTCCTCCCACTCTTCAGCAGGAGGTGGAAACCCACCAAAACATGGTGACCCCCCTTCGCATTGCCTGGGGCTTCTTGCGCCGTAAGCTAGGGGGGCGCCAGCCACAAATATTTCCAGGCGATATAAAAGATCAGCCGACATAGATGCGCTTCCGTCGTTCTCACCCTACCAGGGCCCTTTTGGGGCCTTTCGGGGTGCGTTCCGCCACGGCCAGATTTGCTCTGGAGTCCGTGTCCGAGCTTGCCCCAGGAAAGATCTTACGGTCGGGAACTGATGGATAGCGTGTCGTTGCGCAGGTTCTGGTCCCCAGTGCCTCGGCGCGACACGCTTTCCACTCCCGAATCACCAGGCTTTACCTTCGTGAATTTTCCTGGCATCGTCCACTTGCAGGGCATCGCGTGTCGCCGGGGCCGCGGCTGCGACACGCCAGGCAAACATGCCCGACCGTAGCGGTATGCTTCTTCCCCCGCAGCAGAAAGATAACCCTTGCTTTCTGTGACAAGGTGTGAGTATCTGGCCGGCGTCAAAAAATGCTTGTCGAGGCGAAAGGAGGCCAGTGCTCAGGTCGCGGCAGAGGGCTCTCGGGGCCTACGTCGTGAAAGAACACGCGCAGCCCGAGGTTTTGGCATCCGCAAGCGCCGATGTTGGCCAGGCCAATCGGCCTGGCCAGTATGGGTAGGTTGGGATACGCTCAGAAACGCTTGCTTGGCGAGTCGCTCCGCCGGTTCTGTCCTTCAAGCTTCGGCGCGGCACGTTATCCACGTCCCCACTCCCAAGCGTCAACGCCCCGAGCCTTTCGAGACCACCCGCCCCGCGGAGTAGAGCGATACGGCAAGCGCTTGCAGGGGATAGCGTGTCGCCGGGGCCGCCGCTACGACACGCGAAGCACAGCTTCTCGACCGTATCTGGCGCCCCCCAGCAAACGCAGTTTGATGAAGGACAAGAAGGTTCGGGCCGTGTCGCGCCACATCGGCTCAAAAACATGTTGGAACGCACGCAGACGCGCATCGTATCTGAGTGGGAGAGGGGATGAAGGTCCGCCGAGCCGCTGCAAGCATCCTGCGCTCATGGGCGATAAGTGGCGACACCTGGGCCAACATGCATTAGTTCTGATTTGAACGCCAGACCTCCACAATGTCGCACAGCACCTTCGAACGCGCACCACTTCTGAGTCGAGGGCCGACTGCGCAGTTTTCCCTGCAGCCGTGTGCTGCGAGCAGCTCTCAAACGACAGCCAGGTTGGGGCAAACTAAATCTCGTTGACACCATAAGAGATTACATACGAGGCGTCCGACCTGCACGAAGAGGTTACGAAGGCCCACGCGACAGGCGAGTCCCACCTTCAGTGGTTGTGCGCATTTCTATCCATCACCATCAGCATCAACATAATCATCGACAACATCAGCATCATCCTGCTCATCCTCCCAGTCCTGCTGCGTGTGGATGTTTCGGGTTTTCACCATGCTCCTACCTCTTACGGACAGAGTGAGAGAGAGAGAGAGAGAGAGAAACCGAAAAACATGAGAGACCGAGAGGATATATATAGAGAGAGAGAGAAAGAGAGAGAGAGAGAGAGACCGAGAGAGACACAGAGAGAGAGAGAGAGACATAGCGAGAGATCACACATGTATATTTAGAGAGAAGGGGGAGAGAGAGAGAGAGAGAGAGAGAGACAGAGAAAAATATATAGACTGACAGGGAGAGTTCATGCAATCTATATGTATATATACGTACAACATGTATATATATATATATATATATATATATATATATATATATATGCGGATCCGATGTAGTACATGTATATATATGTATAGATATGTAAATATATGCGTGTATGGGTATACGGGCCTAACGGGGGGCGTGTCGAACGTGCGAGTTGTATGATGTTATGTTTTGTATTGTTGTTGTGATTTTCTGTTTGAGCGTTCTCTTGTGCTCTTCTCTCTCTTGTGTCCTCGTCCTCTTCCTCGTCATCCTCGTCCTCGTCGTCCTCATCGTCGTGTGGGCGAGATACACATACATTCCGTATGTTGGCGGTGGGAAACACCACAAACTTTGGGACAACCATTGGGCAAACAGAAAAACCAAAGAAACCGAGGTGCTGGAAGCGAAACTGTTCGGATATTCAGTTGACAAACCAAAAACAACAAATATTCCAGGGAACGCCGTCCCAAGGAATAAGCCCGAAGGGAAAGCCCGCAATCTCTGTGGAGCCTTTTTTGTGTGTTCGTTTGTTTTCTGGGTTTTCCCCATGGTTTTCGTACAACTTTCGCTTCAAGCACTTCAGTTTCATTGTGTTTTCATTTGTTCCCATAGTTTTCCCAGATTTCTTGCATTCCTTCAGAAGGGGGGGGAGGGGGAGGAGGAGGAGGAGGAGGACGAGGAGGAGGAGGAAGGATAACGAGGAGGAGGAGGAGGAGGAGGCGGAAGAGGAGGAGGCGGAGGAAGGAGGAGGGAGGACACTTCTTTGGTGTCCAAGCCAGGGACTTCAGATTTCTTTTGCTGGGAAGATTGGCGGATCAGGCGGTGATGAATTAGACAATTATCCTTGCTCGACGGGGTTGCCAGTGTGACAACACTTTACAGGGCAGAGCGACCGACCGACCTCCTCCCTACCCTCTCTCTTCTCCCTCACCCAGGCGCATGGCGCTGAGGAGTGCACCCTCGGCGCCACGCAGCCCGACCCCGAGCCAGCGCCGCCCGCCATCCACTTCGATTGGGGCGAGGATGACGAGGATGACGACGAGAGCTTTCGCGCCGACGACGAGAGCCTCGACGATGACACCGAATCGGAAAACAGCTGGATGGAACCGTCCCTGCACGACTCGGACAGCGACGAGGGTGGCGACGTCGATGACAGCGGGACGTCCTTCACGGGGTGCCCGTCGGACGAGGACATGCCGCAGCACTCCGGCATCGACGGCGACTCGGACTCGCCTTGGCAGGGCGACGAGGAGATCGACGATGGCGGCGACCGACCGCTACTTCGCCGATGTCGTGTGGGTCTCCGACGACGAGTTCGACGCAGCCGACGAGTCCTGACGGGCTTGCCTTCGTGTGCGCGTGCAGGGTAGCCGCGCGCGCGCAGCAGGGGTCGGTTTGGCCCAGGGCAGACTCCTTCATCACTGCTTCAGGGGTGCGGTAGGCGCGCGACTGCACGCGCTCAGGAACGCGCGTAGTTTTGCTCCTCTGCAGGCGGGAACTTGAGACGGAGGAAACACAGCCAGCATTGAAAAGTGCCTCGTGTCGTCGTCGCCCCCGGGAAGTTGCTTCGCCTCGCCGCCATCGCTGCGATCGTCGTCATCGTCGCCGCCGCCGCGTGCTGTCCGCCGCCGCATTGGCCCAAAGCGAGGTGTTCTCAGAGCGCGGGATCGCTCCGAGCGCTCAGGGCCGACCCGCCGCCGCGGCCATGGACCTAGGGAGGTTCCGCAGGGACGTCTCGGGGAACGCTTTCTTTCGCGCCTCTTCTTTCCTCCACCGCGTCCGCTTGGAAAGGGGGGAAATGCTGAAGCGAGGCCGCGGGGGCGACGGGCGTCCTCTCATCCATGCGGGTGAACAGCTACTTCCCCTTCCTGCACTTCGTTTTCCTGAGGTCCAAGGATTGCCGCATGATGAACGTATGCGAGGAGATGGGGGGGGGGGGGCCTGCGGTGCGAATCACGCAGCAGATGGTTCGTGGAAGAAGACCGACCAGTCTGCCTTGCAAAGCTATGTCGAAGAAGTAGACGGCACCAAGGTCGGCGACGTCGCCGAGGTGGTCGCGGTGGACGAGACCGCCGCGCGCCGCGGCGATTCCAAGATCAGCGAGCCCATCGGTTTCAAGCCAAAGGCCCGCACCATTGGCAGCCGCGTGCGAAATCCCCATCCAGAGGAAAGTGGAGCCAGGAAGGAAACAGTGGAACGTGTCAAGAAGATACGCTTGAAGAAGGCCTCGGCGAAGACGCGCATGAAGAAAAGCGCGGCGATGACAGGGCAGAAGAAACGCACTCGACACTACAGGCAGAAAGCGGGCACCCAGGACGACGAGCACACGTCTCGGTGGCTTCGGGCGGCGGCGGAGTCCGCGAAGAAGGCGAACTTGAAGGTGAATGGGCATTGTGAACCACAGCAAGGGTTTCCACAATCCTGTCAGTGGCGCCCACGCGAACGACGTCGAGAGCGAGTTCGCGCGCCTCAAGCTCTGCCTCCGCAGAAATTCCGGCTACGCGCGTTCGTCGAACAGCACCGACGTCGCCCGCGAGGGCGAGGCTCTCCTCCTGAACGTTGCGGAGCACGTGTTCCACGCGAACGTCGGGCGGGACATGGCTTCCACCATGTCAGCTTTTCGGCATCGGGAGGAGGGGGCGGGAAGCCCGTCGGTCTGCGATCCCGCGACGCAGAGGTCATTGTGGACTTTGCTTGCGGGGGCAGGGGCGCGACTGCATGTGGGCCACGGAGAGATCGCAAGTTGAGGTTCACGAATTCGCGACGCTGGATTGTCTCTGCCGCGGGGCGCAAGAAAAGCAGAGCAGGGGAACGAGCCCCCATTGGGCCCGCGCGGCCTTTATATCTATATATATACACACACACATATATATATATATATATATATATATATATATGTATATATATATGTGTGTGTATGTATGTGTACATACATATATATATAACAACTACGCTGGGCACCCTTCCGGGGCGTCTTCCACCTCGCTCACGTCTCAGTTACGCTAGAAGGCGCCGCGCTGCCCGGCCCCCCAGGGAGCCCCCCAAATGCCCAAAGACAGCCCTTGACGACCCCAAGAGGCCCTTGAAACGTAAAAGAAAAGCCCAAGACGCTCCCAAGCGACCAAGAATAGCCTTCGGGCAGCGCTCCAGACTCCCAGGAGGCATCCAAGATACTTCAAGAGAGCTCCGAGAGGCCTCCCGAGAGCGCCCGAGAGAATTTGAAATCGTTAATTTCCATTGTTTTGTTTCACGGGTTTGAGAGCCTTCTCGCCACTTCATGCTTCCAACGCTCCAAGACGGCCCAAGAGTCCCCCAAGACCGCTCCAAGATGGCCGAAAAAGGGTTTCAAGAAGGCCTCAGGAAGGCCCGCGAGGGCCCCAAGACCAGCCTGGGGCGCCCAAGACGGCCCGATAGGGCCCCAAAGCGGCCCCAAGAGAGGCCCAAGAGGGGGAACGCGAACCCAACGGCAGAGCCTTCCGCCCTGAGAGGCCCACAGGAGGCCCCAAGAGCCCCCAAGGGGTCCGACGAGGCCCCCCAAAAGCCTCTCAAGAGGCCCCACAAGGCCCCCATGAGATGTACACGGGCCCCAAGATAGCCGAACGGCGCCCTCGATGCATCGGCGCTGCCTTCAGAAGGCCCCGGGGAGCCCTCCGGATTTCATCAGCGTGGCCCCGGGTGGCCCCAATTCGGGCCTCCACGCAACCAAGACGGCCTTTGGCGGCTTCACATTGCAGAACATCACCTTCCGACTGCCCAGAGAACCCCGACGATGCCCCCCAGGGGCCCCAAGAAACCCCGCGACGCCCCCCCAAGAAGCATCAAAGAGGTGCTTCCAACAGCCAATTGAGGAAGCACGGATAACCCCCAAGAAGGCCTTCAGATGCCCCCCCGAACAACCAAAGAGATCCCCAGGAGGCATTCAAGAGGCACGATTATGTCAAGCGCCTGTGCTTGATGGCGCTGCCCAAGGTCTTCCAGCGTTCCCCAGCCTGGACTAGAACCTGAGCGCGCGCGATGGTTCTAGTGTAGCTATATATATACATAAACATACATACACATACATACATACATACATACATACATACATACATATCTAGAGGGAGAGAGAAAGAGAGAGAGAGAGAGGCAGTGAGAGAGACAGAGGGTGAGATAGAGGGACAGAGAGGGACAGAGAGAAAGCATGACAGAGACAGAGAAAGGGAGGGAATGCAAGGGGGAGATCGGGTGAGTGCGGGAGGGAGAGTGATAGGGAGGGAGAGGAAAGATGACAGGCGAGATGTTGAAGCGCCGCTCCCGTGCCGCAGCTTTTGAGCCCCAGGAGACGGGGAGGCGGCACGGCTCGGGAGAAGGAGGGCGCCCGCAACCCTGATGGACCAAAGCGCGGGCACAGCTCGGGGCCCACACCTCTGTGGGCACTCCCCTCTGGCCAGGCTCTAGGCCCCCCAGATGGGGTCGGAGTAGATGGGGTCGGAGCATCGCGCCGCATCGCCGATGCATCGGCGATCCGGCTCGATGTGGAGCCCGAGTTCCCCCACGCCGACAGCGATGCGTCGCTGACGTCGGCGATGTACCGTCGATGAATCGTCGACGCATCGTTGACGCATCAGCGATACTTTGGCGGTGCGGGCCGATCCTCCGACTTCGCAGGCTGGGAGGCCAATTCCGATCAAGATCTCAACTCGAATTCTCCGAGGCGGGGATTTGTCCATGTCCACCGCCGGGGAAACCGATCCTCCAGGACCTTGGGAAACGGTGGATATGGATATTTTTAGCCGCAGGGGTGCCCAACATTTCAATTTCCACCGCCCGCCGGGGTCCCCGGGCATCGACGCCCAGGGCGGTGGACACGAATAGATCCCCGCCTCGAAAGGTGGGCCCAGGAGGTCTCGTGTACCCAGACCTCCAGCGTGTCTTGTTGAGCCCGCGCTGAATCGTCGTTGCGCCGGCCCTTCAAGAGGCCCGGAAGAGGAGGAAGAGGAGGAGGACGAGGAGGAGGAGGAGGAAGAGGACCAATGCAAGCGCAAGACTCATCAACGATGTTGAAATACACCCTCCCTCCAAGCTGCCTCTTCACAGGCCCCTACCAGGGTTCGCTCCCTGTCCATGGGTGGGGATAGATGTTTATAGCAGTGACGTTTGAAACGGCAGTTATTTTCAATGGGAAGGGATCAGCAGCATTTTCTGTTATTTTGATTCCCGGGTGAATTCCTGAGTTTGCTCGACCGACGTTTCCGTTGTGGCCGAATACTTGGCGAGAGTCGCGTAGAGTAGGGCGCGAGGTTGGACGCGGCACTTTTCCTGACAGGGTTTATTTTCCATTGACGGAAGTCCCATTGAGGGACAACCGACAACCGAGTGAAAATCCAGACGCGTGCGAGAACACCATTGTCAGGATTTCAATGCCACGAGTCAACTTGATTGTTGCGTCTTGACGGGCCTGAATCGTGCCAGAACACTACTCCTGGGATTTCAAAATCGCGACTCAACGTCACCGCTGCGCCCTGACAATCCTGATTCGCCCCAACGAACCGTCACTGGTTCGACAACCATGAGAAACTGTGAAGCTCTTGCAAACTCTTCAAACGAATCTGCGCGGCGCTAAGGCGAGAACGGCATTTTGAAAATGAGCCGCCCTCAACCCGAGAAGCTCCTGCAAGGCGAGATCCACATTTTGAAAACCACCCGCCTTCAATCCGTGAACTTGCTATTTTTCAAAACGAATGTGGCTGGAATCAAGGCGAGAGCCACATGTTTAAAACGACCCGCCCTCATTATGGTGAGTCTCTTTTGAATGTTGAACAAGAATGCGCGCGGCGCTAAGGCGAGAGCCACGTTTTGAAAGCCTCCCGCCCTTAAATCCAATTAGGAAGAATGTCCGCGGCGCTGAGAAAAGTCATATTTTGAAGCGGTTCGCTCTACATCTGTGAGACAGTTGAGTTTTAAGCATCATGGTCCTAAGTGGTAAGGAATTTTCAGGCGCAACGCCCAGCACGCCGTTCCGATTGGCCTCGGGGTGCGACAGGGGGAGAGGTATTCAGAAGGGAAGAATGGAGGAGGAGGGGGAAGGGAGGGGGGGCGATGGGGAGGGGGAGGACGATGATGATGATGCCGGGGAAGGTTTCTTTCAGGGCTGCGTGGTTACGTTGCTGTGAAGCTACGCGCGAAGCGGCCTCACCGTGGGCGAAAGTTCAGGAACCCATTGCCGCCAAGGTCACGACTTTACTTCAAAACGGTTGGAATCCCGAACTCTCCTGGTAGCGGAAGGACCCCTTATGGACATATTTACCAATTGGTACCCCATGAGGCCCCACCTGAGTGTGTGTGTGTGTGTTTTTACCTGGAGGCCGTCTCGTGTTCAAAAGCGGGGCGGCATCAACGCATCCTTGCTGAACTTGACAGATTCCCCGGACACCAGGTCTCGCGAGATCCTGTTGCAGGCCACTTTTGTGGGCGAGTCCTAGAGCATGGGGCTGACCTCACAGTAGTATTCCGTTTCAGCAAGCAGCATTGGTGACGAAGCAGTGTGGGCATGCCGTTCTATTTGAGAGGACATCCAGTGGAGTTCTTTGGCCCGTGGCTCGCCGCTTCCCTGACGAGTCTGATAGGCAGGACTGCCTAAACTGTGCTGCTGCCCGCGTTCGCTCACTGCCGGCAAAGACACTTCAGCATCAGCCGTGGACTTGCTTGTGTCTGGAAGGTAAAGAAAGGACTGCCTTCGACCTGATGCCCCAGATGCATGCCGAGTGTACCGATTGCCCGTGATGGGAGCCGAGGTTTGGCTTCCATGATCTGGATCTACCCCATCATCGACCAGTGGCCCGAGTGGGCCTTCGATTCGACTGGTGATCTACAGGCAGGTGCGGATTTGACTTACCCTCTGGCAGTCTTGTAGGAACTGATGGGAGCGGATGAGGGTCACTCCAATGATCCCAGGATTCGGCGATGTGGCTGGGGCTTCGCGGTGGTGTCTCATCGGATTGTGTTGGAAAAGCTTGGGGCCCCCTCCCAGGGGCTTCCCAGCCGCTCCACGCGGATGCCTGGGGCCGTAGTTGGCGTGAGTTGCAAGACATGCAAGTGGGGTAATATCCGAGATTAGGAGTCATCTCGCGGACGCTGGCATAGGTGGGCTCGCGGAGGCGGAGGAGTTCCCGTGCAATCAGGCGCCGGGCGAAGCTGCCGAGCGCGGGGCCCAGCTGGCCCAGTCCCCCCCCCTCCCCCCTCCCCAGAAAAAAGCATCCGCGAAGTGGCCAGAATCGGCGACCTAGCTCTGCGCACCGTTGCAGGTATCCTCGCGGTCGGCCCGGACCAGGCGCAGGCCCGTCAATCCAGCCCCAAGCGTCGCCCCACTGACCTTGTCGTCGCCCGACTCGCGGGACGGGCCGCGCGAGCGGAGGTTGCTGTTGCCTCCCGCTCTGCTCCGGCCCGTGACGTCCAGGCCGCCGCGGAAGGTTGCATTCAGCGCGCGACGTGCCTCGCGTCGCCCATGAGGGCGCTCTTGCGGGCCCCCTGCGTAGCCATTTTGGCCCCAGGTCTTTGCCTTCCCCAGATAGGAAGTGGATGCCATTATTCCGCCGCGGTGCCAGAGCTCCGTGCTCGACATGTTTCCGGCAGGTTCGGCAAGGGCCCCCGGCGACCCAACCGTGTCTCGCGAAGTCGTTTCGTGTGCATGGCGCCCCAGGGCCTTCGGTTATCTTCGACGCCGCCGTGGGCCAAGCGACAGGGGGCATGCAGCAACTGCGCCGGCCTGCGTGATCGCGTCGCCAAGGCGCCTCTACCTGGACAGAGCGAAGGGGGGCTGGAGCGGATGCAGTCCTCAGGTCCGCGGGGGTTTGGAGGAAACGGGGCCGCCCAACGGTTGGGAGTCGGCGGCGTAGAAAGACGCCCTGCCAGTGCAAGCTCATAGCGTAGGAATGGACGTGTCAGCGTGGCACAACATTCCAGTCTCATTCGCAGCACGATCGCCCCAGTGTTCGGCTAACACTTCTGCCTGGCCCCCCCCGCTGCAGCAGATCAAGGCCTTCGTGGCCCAGCTGCTAGCAGGTGACCAAGCAAATGCGGAGACCATGCGCACCGCAAACGGACCCATCCAATCCGCGCAGTAGCTTGAGCCAGCAACCAGGGTCAATCCACTTGGGTAGGGGCCGCATCTGGCGACAGCTCGGTCGGACCGTGGACGCGCGGCGCTCGATTTCTTCATGCAGCAGCGGATCCGATTTCTACCTGCGGGGACCCGGCTGCCGCGAGGAGAAGCCATGGGGGCACATGGGGAAAAGCGCTGCGGCGGAGCAGCAGGAGGTCGATAAGGCGCGACGTTTTTTCTGCCGGGGGTCGGGCAGAAACCTCAGCCTAAGGCGGCGGCGCGTGGCTGACAGGGGGTCTTGGGCGGTCCGTTGGACGTGGGAGTTTCGTTGGGATAGGAGCTTCCCGAACTGGGCCTGGAGGCGTCGGGCCACGGCGCGCGCCGGAAGGCCGAGTCCGATCTCGGAGCCATGCTCAAGAAGGCTGTGCTGGAGTGCTTTTGCGCCACCAGCGCGCCGCTGCAGGAGCACGAAGCCACGGTGGCCGACGTTCTGCAACGCGCCGAGAAAAAGGAGGCAAACCACGAGCAAACCCCGCCGCCAGGGGTAGGATACATGGCGATGGGCGCAGCTGGCCAGCGCCAGCCTGGAGAGCCCGCCGCCCGAGCTGCGGCCGTATCGTCGGGCGCGCTTGGTGGCGCCGCGGCCAGGCCCTTGGCGCAGGTTGTTGCGCGGCGGCGAGCTCAAGTTCGAGGCGAAGGCAGGCCCGAGCATCATGTCTTGGCTGAAGAGTGCACAGATGTCTTGCATGACTGCGTTGGATTAAGCTACCAGCCAGTGCCATCGCCATCGTGCGCAAGGGGCTCCGTCGCCAAGTCGGGCAGCATCAGTATCGAAGTCATGCGCGCCAAAGCAAATGTGAGTGGCGTGGATGTCCGAGACATCGTCGGCTGTCGGTTCGGAACTGTCGGTCCGTCAATGTCCACGTTGGGCATTCATCTCGCGCGTTGAGTTGGGATGTGCCCGGCCAGCGTGGCGAACTTGATTCAGATTGGGACGCTTATGTACGTAACGTTCAGCACTTCGTGGATGACCGCTGCGAGCTTCGGCGCGACGTCGTCGAGGTTGCAGCAGTCTTGGTGGCCAGCCCTGGTGGGCGGCATGATCAGAGTGGCAAGCGCCGCAGAGTAGTCGCGAACGTCTGGGCAGTGGCGGCCTGCCGATGCCCTGATCATCTCGAACAGTCTGACCAGGTTCATAGTCGACGCGAGCGTCGGCGATCAGGCTTGTCACAGAACAGGCGGGACCCATTTTGGCATCGAGTTCGATCTCAAGTTCAAGTTGGAGCACGCCCGCCGCGGGCGGGCGACGTTCACGCCGCGGGAATCCTCGCAGGAGTTCCCCCGAGATCTTGCCGCGGCTGCCGGCGCCGGAGCCGGCCCCCCGCCGGCGGCGCCGCGCGAGTCCAGGAGGCCCATGCGATCCAAGAAGACACCATCGTTACACCATCCTGGCGCCAGCGACTGGGGCGCAGAGCAGGTGGGCTGAGGGGCGCAGAACAGCGAGAGCGAGTCGCCGGGCCCGCGCAATGTCGTTCCAGGAGAAGGAAGGTCTGCTCCAGGAGTCGGCTGGGCAAGGGGCTCCGCGAGCCCGACCGCGACGACTGCCACGCCAGCGACGGCGGCGGCGAGGGGCAAGATGGCGCGCGGGAGGGGCCCATTGGAAAGGGACATCCCAGCGGGGTGCGCCCACTTCTCTCCGCGCCAGGGGGGGCGCGGGGCGCGCTCTCTGTCAGCGAGCATCGCGCGCTCGCATCCCCCCGCAGTGAATCGAATGTCCCCGGGCTCCCCAGTTGGGTCCTGAGGTTGCTTTGGAGAACGTTTGGGGCACATTTTCTTTTCGTGCTTTCGGGCGCCAGCCCCCGGGGCCAAGGGGGGCGCCGTGGCCAGGGCCCCTTGAAGGAGCTTCCGAGGAAGCCCGAGCCCCAGGGAGTCCATTGCATTTCGCCCAGGGGCTAGGCAGTCTACTGGTGGTCCACTTTCTTTTGATCCTGCTGCAAACCCTTGCCAGTGAAGGGCCGAAGCAGCTGTCGCAATCGGCGTTTGGGGGGAAGGAGGACTTGTCCGTCGCTGTTCTGGTCTCGCTGCTTATTCCCTTTCCGCCGAGGCTTCGGCCCAAGCGGGCCGGAGCGTTGAGGTTGGTTTAAACTTCGACGGACCGGTGGATCCAGAATGCAAGCCGTCGAGCACGCCGGGGTGCATTGCGAGCCCGGGGGGCAGCGCTCCATCTCGGCCTGGGCAAGTTTCACGAACGGGCCATGCAGCAGGACCGACGAGGAGGCAAGGGTCTCTATGACAAGCTCAGACGGCGGCCCCCGCGGGTGAAATTCTGTGCGCGTGGATTTCTGCGCTGCTTCATGTGGCCCCAGCGGTGGGTCAGATGTCAGAGAAGGGCTGTTTCTGGCTGCCTCGCGCCGGCTTGATCGAGCTCGCAGGTCTCTTTCGGCGCGCGAATTCAGATGATGCTGGCCGTGGCAAGTGTTTATAGATTCGGACTCAGACCGTGCGATCGGTCTGTTCGTTTGGTTGGTCCGCTTCTGAGGCCGGGCTCCGGATGCTCATCGGCCCAACTGGATTCGGGCAGCGGCGGCCAATCCATTTTTCCAGATTTCCACAGCGGCAGTTTGCCCCGATATCTGACAACTTTTCTTCCGAAGCCACAAAATATCATATTTATTTCTGTCTATGGGTAGAACTCTTGTGGCCGTGCTCTTGAGTTGCAGGCTCGCGCGGCTGCCGCATTTCTGATGGGCCGTTCTGGCTGCGCCCCGCCTGTGAACCCAGAGCTCGCGCTCATCCCTGGGAGCAGCGGGGCTGTGAACCTTGGCGGGGCGGCGCCCCGCCGCGTCTGCGTTGATTTTGTCACGGGCGCTCCAGGCGAGGCGCCCTTACTTCTCTGGGTGGGCGACGTCGTCCAATGCGCGCATGGCGCCAGTAAGTCAGCGTTTGCCAGGTTGTCTGAAGCAGACCTCGCGCTCGCCAGGAACATCGGTTCTGCGCAGTTGTCCACGGGGGCGAAGTCCAGCACCATAGGCTCCAGCTCAGCTGCTGGGAATCAGCTGCGATCGCCTTTTTAAATGCTTCGGCTGAGATCAAAGTCAAGTTCGTTGCGGCTGGTCCTGGGATTAACAGGTCTCGAGCCCAGCTATGATGCCTGTCGCGCGCAGGGCGCCCGCCGCCAAGAGGCTCGCGAAACTCCAGACAGACAGTGGCGGGCCCTGCGAAGTGCAAGCCGAGGAAATACAATGATTTTGTTGTAGGTATTTTGACAATGTCAATGGCGCCCCCCTTCTGCCCCCCCCCCCCCCCGCGTCGCTTCGGGGTGGCGCGGGGCGCTGGGTCGTCTGTCGGGCGGAGTCGCGAGGGGGGGGGGGGGGCGGGGCATGTGCCTCGCCGCGCTTCTCGCTCAAGTGCGCAGCGTGTCGGAGAGGGAGGGGGAGAGAGAGAGAGAGAGAGAGAGAGAGAGAGAAAAAAACATGATGAATAAAAAACAGAGAGAGAGACAGAGAGAGAGAGAACACATAAATATATAGAGGGAGAGAGAGAGAGAGAGAGAGAAACAAAAAAAGAAAAAAGGGAGAGAGAGAGAGAGAGAGAGAGGGAGAGAGAGAGAGAGAGAGAGAAAGAGAGAGCCTGCTATCCTCGTCCTGTTGGCTCCGTCGAGGCGCCGTTCGTGACCGTCGCAGATCCGCGTTTCCATGCGAAGAAGTGTTGAAGGAAACGAGCGCTGCAGCGCAGCCGTTATATACCCGAGGGACAGCGGTGGAGGGCAGCGGCGGCCCTTCCTGCCGCATCAGTCTCCGACATGCTGGACATAGGATGGCACCCGCGGGGGCCCTGGCCCCAAGAGAGCGATTGGGCAGATCGGCTCGCGAGTCCTCGAGCGATTTCTGACGGCAAGCTGGGTCGAGGCACAGTTGACTTCGCTGAGTTCACGAAGGCCCCTGCTGCTAGCCCGGGGAGGAAGCTTCGGCGAGGGGTTGCGCGGCGCGTTTGGAATTGCGGCGATTTCGAACAGGTCCCAGATCTTTCTGACTTCAAGAGAGGTCCCAAGCGCGCAGCGAGGAGAGGCAGGCATTCCCGGGCAGGGGCGCGCATGCCGGTGATCACTGGCAACAATTGGACGGGGGTCCACTTGCATATTGCTTCTTTTCCTCAAGGCAGCTCCTGCAGTCGCCGCGGCAACGACTTCGGGTCCGACGATTGCAGGGCGCGAGGCTCTCCCGAGAACGAGCAGTTTAGCGCAGTGTCGGGGTTCGTCGCCAGACGAGCTGAGCGGGCGTTGATCAGAATCCCATGTGTTGGATCCGAGGGCCCACGCCCAAGTCTTGGACCGCCGCCTCCCCGCCATCCGACGGGGCTGACTGCCGCGGGCCCGGCGGGGCCCTTGGGGGCGCGCTGGTTGGAGGTGTTATTTTCGGCGGGGGCAATGCTGGCGGAGGCCAGGGCATTCATGATCTCGCTTTGAGGCCGCGTAGCTTGGGCCTGGGCGGTGTTGGGGGGCTTCAGACCACCGGCAGCTACTGCGCCGAAGACCTCCAGAACCCCCCCCGTCGGGTTTGTGAATGTCCAATGCACCGGGCAGCCAACCAACAGGGGAGAAGCATAGAGTCTACTAGAGTTTGCCAGCGCCGACTTCCTTATTGCGAGCGCAAATTCCTGCTCTGATTCTTTATCTGCCATAAATCGCGTCATCAATGTTCAGCGTGGTTTGAACCCAGAGTCGCTCCCCGATCTTTGGCTTGGGTTGGGGGCCTTCCGGCAGCGCACCCAGCCAGGGGCATTGTGCTTGTCGAGTCCGCGGGCCACAGTGATGTGCAGTCTGGCTCTGATGCGGGAGCTGATCCTCGCCATTTGTTATCAACGACATTAATGATAACGCGACGAGTTTTTTGGGCGGAGCAACTTAGAGCTCCGAAGCAGGATCGGGATAGTATATCGCTTGCCCAGGCCATCGCGCATCAAGTCCTTCACCACCTGGGGCACACTTTGTTGGTGAGCGCCGAAGCCGACGTGGATGGAGTTCCCAGGCAGCGTGAGGTGGCGATGTATAAGTACGAATATATCGTCCAGCTGCTGCTGACCGCCCGTGCCCCAGATTGTGGTGTGGACCTGCGAGTTTATTGCAATGCGTGTGGGGGATCAGTGCCCAGGCCCTTGGCCGATAAGCTCTTGCAGGCCTCTTACCAGAAAGGGCTTATTCCACGGGGTCGCGATGATCCCGCGAGCGCGTGTGTTCAACGGCCAGCTCGGGCATTTGTCTCACACCCTCGCATGCAGCGGCATGTGGGGAAATTCTGTTTGGTTCAGTTGTGGCTGTTTACCACCCAAGGTGTCTGCAATTTGGGAAAGCCTTGCATCCCTGTGGTTGGAACCCATGGGAAGACGCAGCCCAGGGGGGTGGCCAAGGGGCAGCCCCCTGACACACGCCCTCTGCCCAAGCTGGTTTTCTTGTTGCAACCAGTCTTTGACGTTTCCAGAGCCTGCCGTTAAACGTGGCTCTGACACGATATTATTCCATTCGCAAAACACACTTCCACGGGCCCAATGGCTGGCTCAGGGGTCAGGAGTGCCCAGGCCAACCCCACCAGATCCACGGACCCCATTGTATTCGGTGCTTGCGGGGGTTCTGGTGGTGTGCGCTGCATGGCTGTTCGGGTCGTCGGTGGGCCTGCAAGCGACCCAGTCCTTCAGGTAAGAGAGCTCTGGGTAGGCTTTGCAAGGAGCTTCCCTTCCGCTAGGATTGAAGCGTGGCTAGATGAGTTGGAGGTTGTTGGGTAGTTTCTCCATGTCTTGGTGTGCTGTTTTTTTTTTGCGGGCCCTATGATCGAACATAGACATGCTCCCGCTGAACTGTGCTCGGGAGGAGGAGGAGGAGGAGGAGGAGGAGGAGGAGGAGGAGGAGGAGGAGGAAGAGGAGGAGGAGGAGGAGGAGTAGGAGGAGGAGGATTTTTCATCAGCGATCCCGTCGGGGTCCAACCAATAGTCGCCTGTTCCAGCAGGGGCTGGCCTGTCGCCCCGGATTGTTCGGTTGACGGCCCCGGGGCCCCTTCTCCAGAGTCCGAGATTTGTGCACGGGTTCCATCCAGTTCGGGGTCTTGCTGTCCTGAATCGTGTGCGATCGCAGGCGATGTTTCGCCCCAAACCTCCGACATAAAACAATGTCCCTTTGAGAAATGGGGGAACTCGGGGTTGCACCCATAGGAAGCTATTCGGACGCACCCCCATCGATGATGGAAGCCCCCTTGCCGTATATCCCCGAGTTGGGCCCCACGTTCCTGGTCCACTCTGAAGCCCCACAATGCTGGGGTTGGGGCTCGACATCCCCTGCCACATTCCCTTCTGCTCTCAAATAGGGTCCGAGTAGATCGGGTCGGAGGATCGCGCAGCATCGCCAATGCAGCTTGATGTGGAGCCTGTTTTCTCCACACCGACTTCGACGATGCACCGCCGACGTCGGCGACGCATCGCCGATGCATCGGCGATGCGCCAGCGATGCGGCGCGATCCTCCCACCCTATCCATGCGGCCCAAATCTGGGAGTTCTGTAAAAACTTGGAGGTGGTTTTGACCAAAACACTGGAGGTCCGGGTTGGTACGCATTTTCCTTCTCATTGGCAGCCGCCCCTTCCGCCGTCCATGGCGCGCACCTCCACGCCGGTCTGCCTGTTCGACGTCATCGAGGCGTTTGCCAGCCAGGCCGGACCGCTACTCAGTTCGGCTTTGCCGCCTTGCCCGCTGCCGTCTTTCCCCTTCTCCTTCTTTGCCTCCTCGTGGGGCCAGGCCATGCACAGCAGAGGGCCAAATCGTCTTTATGCGCGTCCAGCCGGCGAGAGTTGTGATAGGGTAGGATGCAGGGGCTAGGAGATCCACGTCGTAATGTGTGGGGTTCGTCTAGACTCGATGTCGTTCTGCTGCTAGCTCAGGACTCACTGGCAGAGCCACCACCTCACGTGCATAGCCCTTTGCAGGTGGATGAGCGCACAACGCGTCAGTGATAGGCATATGTGCGAGCAGCACATACAACTCACGCACTCTTGATCATGACGGCTTCCGCGACACCAAGCTGTGGTGGAGTGTTGTTCCTCCACAGGCCTGCAATTTATTCTTCCCCAACCTTCTCGCGGAGCTGGATCCACGCCTTCTCCCCAAAGCGCGCGCGCGCCTTCTCAACCTCATCCCGCTTTCCCCCTCCCCCGTCTGCCCATAGGATGCGGTCATGGTTAGCATCCTTGTGCCCTTTCTGTTCGCCAGGTGCTGCCCGCATCGGGCCGCTGCGTTTTAAACTGGCGCGCGCACGGGTAGCAAAGAGATGCTAGCCCCAATCGTCGCGGCAGCAACTCGAAGCAGGATGTGCAAGGCAGTTTGAAGAATTGTAGAGTTTCCCAGGACTTTTGGTATGCTGGTGTGCTTGGGATAAGCAATCGATCGCGCGTTGATGACCCCTCACGTCCTCCGATCGCTTTCCTCGCGGGACCCTCTTTTTGTTCGCATTTCCCCACTCATTCCCCTCCCCTTTCGGCGAAGCCGTTTCGGCTCGGGTGCTACATACCGCCCGCCTGCGCCAGGCCGGTGCGATGGCCCATCATGGAGACCTCCTCCTCGTCCTCCTCTCCCTCCTTGCCTCCAACTCCCCCCCTCCACATCCCGCTGCCCCTGACCCCCCCTACCCCTGCTACCCCTTGACGTTGGCCATACATGGTCATCGAGGCTGTTGCGCTCCTGCTGCTCCTTCTTTTGCTCGCCACCCTCTTGATCTTCTCTCTGATCCGCCAGCTTCCCCCGCTCTCCGTCACCACCCTCTCCCGGGTACCAGTCCTCCCCCCTTGGCCCGCGCCTCTCCTTCTCTGGTATTGCTGCTCCTCGCCATACCTGGCCCCTCTCCTACTCCCCTTCCTCGCCCTCCTCCCCTGCCTCCTCCTGTTCCTCCTCCTCCCCTCCCTCCTCTCCTCCCCCTCCCTCCTCACCCTCCTCCCCTCCTTCACTCCTCCCCCCTGGTTTGTCCTTGTTTCCTTCCTCGTACGTTTCCTCCTCTCCCTCCCCCTCGCATCTTCCACCTCCTTCTCCTCATCCTCTCCTCCTCCTTCTACTTCCCAGCCCTTCTGGCACAGGTTTCTGCGCTTGCAGTTCTCAACACTTCAGACGGGCTGGGGGAGCTAGATTGAGAGCAGCCAGCACTGATAGAGAGAAGAGGAGCCAGCACGGCAAGTTCCTGGCTTTCCCTGCGGGCCCAGCCATGGCGCCAATCGCCTCTGGTGGTTCTGCAGCTGCTGATCGGACTTGGGTTTGTCGGTTGTGCACGCACCCCAGGACAGGGTAGCTTCCTCAATCAGCCAGATCTCGAAGTCTGCCACACGTGTCGGCGCTCAACTGGGTTTTGCTCCCACAGCTATATGGGAAACAAGTCCCCGAGCGGACGCAAGTTTTGGCTCTCGTTGGATCCTGATGACAAAAGACAAATCACCACCATGGGCAAACAAAAGAACAGTTCCCGCAAACGCCGGCCACTATCCGCAGGTTGGAGGCCCAGCTCAAAGAGACTGCTGGTCTGGACTAGGGCGGGCGTCTAGTGAGTCGACGGAGCTTCCCCAGTGTGGATGGCGATGATGACGATGATGGTGGTGATGGTGATGGGGACGACGGCGATGGTCATGATGCTCATGGTGGTGGTGATGGTAGAGACTATCGTACATCATATTATTCAACCCTTCATCATCACCGTCCTGCTCCATGCCCTCGCGCCCATCGGTCGTCCTCTTTCTCCTCCGTAGCCGCGTCGGCTCACGCGCCTCTTGGGGCTTTCTTGGGGCCAACGGCAATGCGTAGCGAGCCGAGCCCGACGCCGAGCGCGACGCCGACCACTGCGTCAAGCCGCCAAGCGCCGAGCCCGACCCCATCTTCCGAGAGCCGTCCCCCGCCCAGGTCCGAAGTCACGTCGGACAGTGTGTCCGACGCGAAGTCGGACGCCGACGCCGACGACCCCGACCTGGGCCCGGATTCCCATCATCCCGAGGCAGAATACGAAGTGTTCGACGTTTCCAGCGCGGGCTCAAATTCCCATCGTCCCGAGAGAGGGTACGAAATGCTCGACATGTCCGGCGCGGGCTTAGGGTGCCATCATCCCGAGACCGAGTACCAAGGGTCCGAAGAAACCCGCGGCTGTAACAGCAACTATTCGTTCCAAAGGCTCGTATTCTGATAACGACCGCGGTTCTAACAGCAAAGACTCGTCTTCCGAGTCGGCCGCGGCTGCAACGGCGAAGGCCTCCCCGAGCAAAGCCGTCGAGAAGTTCGACCCTGTTTCCATGGCTCTGGCGGGGCACGTCGCCAGCCACAACTTCCCAATGCAAGTCAGGACGCGCGCTGTTTGCCGCTTCTGGGAACACTGGGTTTAGTGGAGCGCCTCTCTCTCTGCGACGAATCCAGTAACACAGAAACATGAAACTCGGATAGGCAGCGCCAGTGGTGGATTTGTAATATGTTTGTGTTGCGCGGAGATGAAAGGTCCTCGGTGCCGCTTCGCCTTGGGCAATCGCGTCGGGAGCGTCCTCCGTCGCCAGAACAGGCAGCAGGCGTTGCGCCAGGGACTCCCCGTTTCAGCGCCCCCCGCAACGGCCGGGCGCACAGCCGCGGCGCAAAGCGCCCGTCGTCGTCCGCACTGCCGACCCGCGCCCTGGTTGCCGCGCAGCGGTCGCCGCCCGTGCATAATTGGAGACGTCCAGTTCCGTCAAAAGTTTCGATGCGCTGCGGGATGCGCTCCCCGGGGACGACCGCGCAGCTTTGGGGCATCATTCGCAGCGCCGAATGGCGGCGACCGCAATGGCTCAGTGCGAGAAGCTCGTGACGCAGAGGATTCTCGAAGAGTGTGTTGTTTTCCGTTTGCCGGCGGGCGGTCTCGACCGCGCGTACCAGGTCGAAATTGGCACCGCGTTGCGGTCGATCCTAAAGGTTCTGGAGTTTCTCCCAAGCTACGGTCTCTTTCCATGGGCCGTGGATTGCGACGACAAGGCCCCCGTGCTAGAGGGCTACGTCCGTCGCGCGCGCCAGGCGGCAGGCGGGGAACTCGACGTGGACTTTACATGCGCATGCGAGAGGAGATGCGGGCATGGCGCAGCGATGGGGCGGGGCTAAGCGCACCCCTGGCAGTCGTTTTATGTTTGGGACGAGGCGCATTCGGCCGCCCAGGAGCTCCTGGCCAATTCGATGACAGAATAGCGAAATCACCATGACGGACAGTTTGCTGGCAGCGGGTTAAAAGCCGCCAAGTCTGGCCAAGTTTCTGACTGCGCCCACCGCGTTTCGCGCCACAGTGGGGGCGCAACAGCAGGAAGACGAGACTGCGTTCATCAGAGACTTCGGCTGGGCCGCCCAGCGTTTCAACAGTCGCGCGAGGCCCCTGGCGCGGGAAAGCCGACGTTGGAACGCGATCTTCGATGCGTTCAGAGAGACATCCCAGGGGGGCGGCCGAGATCGGCGCATTCTCTCGCGATCTTTCTTCGAAGGGCTCGGGGGCGAGAAAGTTCGCGCCTGCTTCTTGGAGGGTTGCTGGCCGACCTGCGCGCGGGGCATTACTCCCGGGTCGCTACCGGAGACAGGCAACCCCGACGCTGCAAGCGTTCAGTCTAGGGCCGCCTCGTTCCTCTCAAGACTGAGCGCGTCGTTCGTCGATGGGCCGATTTTGGGTGCAGTTGCACGGGGGTCGCCCTGAAGTTCTCCGCGGCAGGCGTCGCGCTACCCGCGCGGCAACAGCGCCCAGACTGTGGGCCTCGGCGATTGAAATGCGGGGCCCCGAGCCCGCGTAGCCGTCAAGGCTGCGCTTCGACGGGCGCGGGCACTTGTTGCCAGCGCGTTGGAAAACGCGAAGCTGCATCGGCCAGAGCATTATTGGTTGCACGCTTTCCTTGCATTTCGCTTGCCCTCCCCCTGCCCGCGACAGACGCGGGCGCAAGGGAATCTGCGACAGAAGCCGAGGCCCGTTTGAGGCGCAGCCGTCGGGGGGCAAACCTTCCTGAGCAGCAGTCGATCGCCCAGCTGTGGCAGCTGTTGAAGCGCGCCGAGGTGCATCGTCGAGACGGGGGCACCACGCGGCAGGCTTGGGGCCTCGCTGAGGCGGAGTGGCCCGAGTGCGACAGCGGCCGCCGTTTCGCGGTGCTCTTCCTAGTCTGGAAGACGAGCGCGGGCAAAGTGGAGCGGCGATTCCGCCGCTTCTCTGAGGCGCATTGCACCGAGAGGGCAGGATGGCCGGACATTTCCGTTGAGGAACGCATGCTGGTGGACCGAGCGCCCCCCATCTAGTTGCCGCGCACGCGGCTGGGCCAGCAGGGGCGGGGCGAGCCCGCCAGGCGTTGGCACGGGCATGTGCCCCAGCTGCATGGGCGCTTCCAAGGGCAGGTCGGAGCGACGAGGAGGGCCGAGAGGCGCGGCGAGGGAATCACAAGGGAGCCTCGGCCAGGACGCCGGTCAGAGGTAAGCTCCGGCCGCAAACGAGCAGCTGCCGTCGACGCCGTGGCGGCCGCTTCCCCGAGCAAGCGCGCTCGCCTTCTCGCGGGGGCCGCCCCCGATCTCGCTGCGGCGGCGCAGGGGGCGGCCCGGGCGAGCGTCGCAGATCCAGCCCGCGCGGTCGCGACAGTCGTAGCCCCCGTTGCCGAGCGGGAGGCCAAGGTGCGGGAGCGCAATCTTGGAGGGGCGAGGGCCGCCGCCAAGGCCAGGTGTGCGCGGGGTCAGAAAGTCTTGCGCAGCGCCACGCCAGGTCTTGCGGGCCGCGACGCGCGCCCCCGCGCGGTCCCTGACCTCGCGCCAGTTCGCGTGGGGGAGGCGGACGCCCGCCGCAAGGCGCAGCGCTTGCAATTCCACTTAGACCACGACCCAGCGGAGCCCCTGTCCCGCCTGGACACTAAGGACAGCGACGCAGCGCGGAAGAAGGGGGACGTAGTCTTGGCTGCAACAGCCGACGCAGACTACGGCATCGCCGCCCAGACAGATAGCAGCAGCTTTCAAGGGAGCTTTCTACGCAACGCCCACTGGTTTTGCACGGCAGGTCTCTATAACAGGCACCCAGTACACCGAGAATCTTCGGAGCTCGAGCCAGAGCTACCACGCGGCCGTGGCAGCGGCTCTCCAGGCAGACCTCCTTGCACTCCCCCCACATATTGCGAACCCTTGCCCATGGGCCGACTGGGTGCGTGCTCGATTATCTGCAGCCTAAGATGCCGTGCTTGTCCGTCCACAAGCACGCAGAAAGCGCGCCCCGACTGGCGCGGCGGGCCTGCGTGCCGCGCCGCTCAGGAGAAGAAGCGGGCGCCGACAAAGGCTTCAAACATCTTTACAAACAGCGTCGTGGACCGCGGTGTATGATCGGCGCTACGGTGGAATCTGGATGAGACAACGCCAGGATTCAGGCTGCGTTGATTACATGCGGCAGAAGCATTCATGTCAGGAGTATGGGGGTCAGGGTGACAAGCTCGACACGAGTGGCTTCGAAAACAAGATGATCCTGCCGGCGCCCTGGGAATATGGTTATGTGGTGTGCCCCAAAGCGCGCCGTAATAGGCTGGGTGCGATTTACTGCCCGCATTGCTCAGTGCCTATCATCTTCGAGCCTCGTCTTGGATCGGCGTTCGCCATCTATCCTGCGGTTCGGTAGATGCAGCCCCTGGAGATTGACCCAGAGTCCGGGTGCAATGTCCCTATGTCTTCAGCGCGGCCAAGAACAGAGATGCAAGGTCAAGCCACGGACATGAACGCGTGGACGTCCGAGAATAAACGGAATCGACCGGACCAGGCCAAGCGTCGTTGGAAGCTCGCGCGTCACGGGAAGGCGGCGCTCCAACTTAATTTCGCGATTGTCTTGGCGTGGCGACCGAGGACGCCCGGTTTTGCAACCCCGGGCGACATTCGCACCCGGCTTCAAAGAGAAGGCCCGCAAGTTAGCTCCATGGCGAGTACAAAATCAAATGTACAAGGGAAGTCAGCTACTGGAATTGACGCAGTCTTTCCTCGCATATGCGTGGCGGCCGTTCTTGAGCTTCCAAATGCCACAAGACGGAAAGGATTTCGGCTTCCTCGAACCTTCCATGCTGTGCAACACGCGCCCGGCATATGCGAATTCCAAATGGATGGGGCAGCCGGTGTAAGGGGGTAAGGGGGGGGGGGGTAAGGGCTCCAATCTCCCGACCCTTGCAGAATTGAAGCATCGCACGTGGGATAATTTTCGTGCACGTTGGTCCCCGCTCGAGGATCGTTGCCCTGAGGCACTCTTCGGTTCTTCTGAAGATGAGCGGGGTGACGGCAGTGGCCTTGCAGGAGACCTGGGACGGCGACGCTGGCAACAATGGTGGGGCGTCCTCCTTGATGAGTCGAGCGCGTCGCGGTCAGACGCCACTCCCACCTCCTCGGGCCCGTTCCGCAAAGACGAGGACGCGCGAACACGGCCGTGGCCCGCCGCGCGTTCAGAAGCGCAGCGGAAGTTATGATCCCGGCGAACGCCAGACGGCCAAGTGGGAGTTGGAACAGAAGATGCCTTGGCGGGCGCTCCGTCATAGGGGTCCCATAACGATTCGCGGGGCGAGCGACGTAGATCTTCGCACGACGCCGGCAGCGCCTCTGTCGATGAGGCCGAGTCCAATGCCCCCTCGCGGGGCGCAGGCACCGCGCGCGACGACTGCGCCACCTGGGTTGGCGCGCCCGCCTGGAGAGACTGCAGAAGAAGAGTCCGCCCCGCCATGGCATCGCAGTTGCGGACAAGGGTGGCAGAGTGAAGCGGCGTCTTCCCAGCCACCTTGGCGCGCGGGCCCAGCCGACCTCTGGGCTTCCTGGGCGCCAGCTGCGAGTTCGGCTTGCTGGCAGACCCGGCGTGGTGGACAGGATTGGCATGTACCATCCAGGGCGCGATGATACGGGGGGTCAGTGGTGGAGGACGCATCGTTCAAGGCGATAGACTGAGACAGTGTCTCCGTCTGGCCCGAGAAGCTACGGGGCGCTGCCCCGGCATGCTGGCGCGCCGCGGTTACCGACAGGCAAACTGCCTTATGAGTTGATGGCTGGTTGGCGCGGTCACCGCATCGCACTTTCGGGTGGAGCGTGCCAGGAGGTCCTTGGCATAAAGCGGTGACGGGGGACTCCCTTCCTTGCCACGCGTGCCCTCAAACTTTTTGGGGGTTGGCGCCGTGGGGGGCCCAAAGTGGCCTTTCGGGAAGGGGGGGGGTCCGTCTTGCGCTCTCGGAATCTTCCGAAGACTGTTTCGCACGTCCCGCCTCTTTTGTTCGGGATGTTAGCCAATGCGCTGGCGCCCCCCTGGCATGACGATGTCACGCTGGGAGGCCGCGGGGGGAGTCATTGCTGACACTCTCCTCGCCGTGTTCAGCTGCCCTGCCCACTCTTCTTTAACGCAGAGTTGGCAGGGCTGAGGACTGACGCGGAGGGACTGTCTCCGCAGCTGTGCGCTTACTCAAAGCAAAGAACGCGCGCGCGTGGCCCGGCCGGCTGGCCTGCTTGCGTAAACCCATACTTCCACTATACATTGGTTTGTGTAAGCCCGATTAACGGACATTACTAGCCACGTACCCACCGGTTCGCCAGGATACACCCGCCTCCTTTGAGCCACGCGGAGAGGAAGATGAACCTACTAATATCAGGAAGCCTGGAGGAGGAGGAGGTGCAGGAGGAGGAGGAGGAAAAGGAGGATAAGGACGACGAGAGATATGGACGAAGAGGAATATTCATAAGGAGTGAGGAGAAAGAGGAGGTGTGAGGAGGAGCGAGGAGGAGTGAGGAGGAGGAGGAGGAGGAGGAGGAGGAAGAAGAGGAGGAAAAGGAACCTGGAGGACCCGGGCGCCTGCCTGCCCTGGTCGGGGCTCTGGCGTTCCCGTTCCCCGGCGTTGCTGGCGCGCGGCGCCGCGGTGCTGGCGTTGCGGAAGGGCGGCGAGGACGCCGAGGAGCGGTGATTCCGACTCGGCATATGGTTTGCCCAACCGCTCGAGCCTCACCGTCCCTTCTGCTTTGCTGCTAGTCTTCTGGGCCTTCCAAGATAGGCATTCCAGGAATTTTCTGGAGTTGTCGCTGGTTCTGTGGCGGTACTCCAGCTTCGGAGTGCTCTTCTGCAGAATCGTGGCAACGGGCCGCTTGCTTGATGCCCGAGTAATGCCCCGATAATTTTCTCCTGGGCATACCAAATTGGGTCGGAGTAGATGGGGTCGGAAGATTGCGCCACATCATCGATGCATCGACGATGCGGTTCGATATGGGCCTGATTTTCTCAACCTCGGCGTCGCCGATGCATCATCGTCGCCGATGCATTTGCGATGCGGCGCGATCCTCCGACCGAGTCAATTCTGACATCATCGAGGAGGCCTCTAGCATCTTCTGGTTCACCCGCTCGAGCCTCACCGTCCCTGCTGTTGCTTTGATGCTGCGCTTTGGAGAAGAGAAACGGCATAGACATTAACTTTCACGCCGATGTTGCTGACCAGCGCCGGCCCAGGAAATCCGCGCGGACCGCCTACAGCTTGCGCATGTTTACCTATGCTTATGTCGTATTTGCTGGTCTTTTGTTGCTGCTGTGATGCTTGCTGCCATGTTTTTCTGCAACCTTCGCTCGATGGCTGTGCCACCTCGGGCACTCATCGATACGTTGGCGCAGCAAGCTTCGCCCCGAACTGAGCCTCACATGTCGCGGAGCAGCGGCAGCGGTCCGAACAGTGGGCAGACAGTGCTGCGCTCAGGCCACGTGCGAGGAGCGACGCTTCCGACCACGTGGCCCTATCTCGAAGACAAACAATGCCATAAACATCAACCTTTGGCGCTCCGCGCGGGTTTCTCGGCTCCGCGCTAGGCCACTCCGGCGGCGCCTCCGGCGCCGCCCCTGGCGCGTTCCACGTTGCAGGGAGGGGGTCAGCGCAGATCCAGGAAATCCGCGCGGAGCGCCAACATGTTATGCTTATGCCGTTCATTCATCTTCTATGACCTCTGGTGCTGGCCCACCGGCGTTTCCCCGATCGCTGAGCAGAGATCGCGGCGGCCAGAGACAGAGTTGGAGGTGCAGAAGTGGAGGAGGGGCCCTCGCCGCCACGGCGGGAGGCGCCTCGGAAGACGGATGCGTGTGGGCCCTGGGATGAGCTCGGGGACCAGTTTTTAGTTTCAGGTCGGGCGTGTCCCTCTGCAGGAGGAATCTGCGAAAACGCTTCAAACATAGTTTGGGGACGATGCTTCATGCCCGACCTAATTTCAGCTGCCGTTGTTTCGATTCGCCCTGCTCTGCTAGCAATGGCCTCTGCGTTTGGGTGCGGCCCCCCCCGCTGCCTCCCTGAAGCCGCGCACGAAAGGCCACTCTTGCTCAGTCCCGCTTTTGCGTGTGGACGACGCTATGCCTCCCGGATCCCTTGCCATGAAGAACACGGTCCTGAGGGAAACGGGCCCAGTTGATTTTCGTTGTTTGGGGAATGCGGGGGCCCTCTCTGGGCCTGGGGATTGTCAGAGATTGTTCAGGACCAGGAGCTGGTCCTGGGTGAACGCCCTGGGTTTCCAGGACTCGTTTTCTTGTAGGACACGTTTGCCAAATATCCCATTGTGCACTGTCCCCTTTCCAGGGACAGGGCCTCGAACGTAGGGATAGTTTTGGGATGCGTTCGGGTTCCGAGAGAAGCATTTGCTCAGGCTTCTTTCGTTGACTGCATGTTGGGCACCCCCTATAAGTCCACATCAGAAATCTGTTTCCCCCTTCCGCCCCTCACCCCGAAAGGACCCCCGGGCATTCGCCAGAGTGGCCTTGACTGCGGGCTCGGAGGGGTCCCCCTCAGTACCCCCTTAGCACTGTCCTGCGCGGTTGGACTTCGCCCTGCTGTGGCCCTCGAAAGTCGCGCACCAGAGGTCACTCTTGCCCCCAGACCCCCGACGTCACGATTTTCCAGAACGTCGACCCCCAGAGTTCTCGCCCCATTCCCAGGGATCGGCTTTTCATCCTGAATCGTGTTTGAAGGTCCCGAGGCCCGGTGAGGGCCCCCAAGGGCTGAACATAGGTAGAAACCTCCCGACGTGATTTTTGCATGGCTCGAAGGGGTCTTGCCCAGGGTCACTCCTGCGTGCAGCCGACGTGTGCCCTCCCGCGGACATTCGCGCGCAAGCTGCCTGCGCAAGGCCGCTCGCGCCCTCGTGTCCATCATAGCGTACCTCCCTGGCGGCCTTTGTAAGCCACCGCGTAAGGTCGCAATGCGCTCTTGCGTAAGGCCCGCTTCTTTGCGTCGCTCACCCCCGACAAAGAGCTCCCCCTGGTGCGGTGGGCGGCGGGCCAGGAGGCGCTCGAGGTCGTGGCGGAGCTGCGGGCGACAGGCGCGAGGCCGCTGCGGCCGCTGCCGCTGCTGCTCTTCCCGCAGGGGCTGGCACGCTGCCGAGGCGGCGAGCGCCCGCCGGTCAGGAGGCTCTTCGGGATCGGGGGTAGTCATCTTCCGGATGCGGCCCCTCGGCCCTTCATAAGAATGCAGCACCTGACCCTTCATTCAGGCCATGGTTTGTAGGGGCGTCCCTAAATATATGGCTGGTTCGTCGGAGACATCTGCATACGTCTGCAGCAATGGCATGCAACTAGTCTCTATCACTAATGTCGATGGCCCTCCCAACTTAGTCTCCCCCCTTCCCAAAGGGTTATGGGTGCTTCTATTGTTTATCACTCAGGTCCTGGCGTTGCCGTTTTTCACAGCAGGGGACTTGGCGTTGTGTCGGGCCCGGGGACCGTCGAAGATCGATCTGCCTCGAAAGATAATGCAAACATCTGGGGTCTGGGGTTTTGGCCACGATGTTTCGCGCGCGAGAGATCGGGGATCGTCGTTGTCGGGATGTTGTGTTCCAGGCCTCCCAGATGGGGTCCGAGTAGGTGGGATCGGAGGCTCGCGCCGCATCGCCGATGCATCGGCGATGCGCTTCAATGTGGAGCTCGATTTTCTTCACGTCGACGTCGCCGATGCATCGCCGACGTCGACGATGCAACGCTAATACACCGCCGACGTATCATCGATGCTGCGCGATCCTCCGACCCCTTCGGCTCGCACCCCATTGGGGAGGCCTCTATGGTGGGATCCCTTGGATGGTGGGGTCCTCGAGTGTTGGGTCGATGCGGATTTCTGCGGGGCCGGGATCCGTCGAGTCGCGCGGGGGCCAGGGACCGCGAGGGTCGGGGTGGAGCGTCGGGAAGCGTCGATGCTTGGGGTTGGCCGTTTCTGGGAGTTCTGGTCGCCACGGTTCTCGAGCCATGAAAAGATCATGAAGGACGATTTTTCTGTATTTTCGGCCTCTGGGGGCCCTGACCGGGCCTCGGGACCGTCGAACATCTATTCAGGATGAAAGATTGGTCCCGCGGAACGGGGCAAGACTATTGGGTGCAGGCATTACGAACAAATCATTACGGAGGAGTCGGAAGATGAGAAGGCGTAAGAGGAGGAGGAGGAGGAGGAGGAGCAAGAGGAGGAGGAGGACGAGCAGGAGGAGGAGAAGGAGCAGGAGGAGGAGACGGACGAGGATGAGGAAGACACTGGGGCTCAGGAGTCTCTGCTTGCATGAGGTGTGGCCACTTGCCCGCATCAGCGGACGCCTGCCCCCGTCCCCTTCTTCGCACAGCTGCTCGGCTGCCAGGCTCCCGCGGGTCATCCAGGAGCTGGTCGACAAGGTGATGTCAAAGTAAGCTCGCGCGCGGGCGAACTGCTTGTGCAAGTTGCCTTTTTCCCGTTTATGGTCGCATAACGTGCAGAACAGCTGCTGGAGCGGCTTGCCCCAGGCGATACGCATCGTTTTCGGCATCGCCGCCGTCATGGACCACGACCACAGGATCTCCAACGGTGGGTCCATATCCGCGTCGTCGCACAGCCCCTTCCAGCACGATCTGGGAGCGCTGCGGCTGCGCCGCACGCCGCGCGCCCACCGGACGCCGAGAGCGCTTGGCGCCACACGCACGCCGAGCACCCTCGGGAAGGGGGGGGAGCAGGCCACCAGCCAGCTTCCAGACTGGCGCCGCTTCGCAGCCTCGTGCTCTACGCAGGACGAGTGCCAGCAGCAGGCCCCGGAATGGCAGACCGTTGCGACGGAAGCGTTGTTGCAGATCCCTTTGTTCCCGGCATGACTGTGCGCGTTGTTGGCCTCGAGGGCCATGCCTTTTTTGAGCGTCCGTGGAGGCAGCTGTTGGTTCTACGACGGGGCTGTTGTCTTCTGGGCCTCCAAGCTCGGCGCGGAGGCCACTCGCGACAAGATAGCTTGCCATGAACATGCTGGGTCCCGCACCAAGAACGCCCTCGTCTTCGCACTCCAACGGGCCGCCCTCGAGTGCCAGCATCGATGTTCTGAACATGATCTGAAATTGCACCCTCTCGCTGCAATTGAAGGGCAGCCTGGCTAGGGTCGCCACGTTATTCTGACCACTACTGGACGACGCAGCCTTCACCGCGAGATGGCGGTATAATCTTTGTGTTGCGCGAGAGAGGCTGTTCGGAGCCGAATCCAGTATCTGCTATTGCGGTGTCTGTCCCTGCCGCCTTTCGTTCGCCCCCATGCCTGTCGGGGCAACCTGGAAGGAGGAGGTTGCAACCGTTGCTTGGTTGACGTTCGATCCTGCGGGCGAGGGTGTTCTCCCTTCGATCCTGCGGGCGGACGCTGGTGGCATGAACATAGGAGAGAGAGGATCGAAACGACGGCACAGACATAGGTAAACTTTCGGAGCTCCGCGCAGATTTCTTAGATCGACGCTGGACTCCCCTGGCGGCGCCACCGGCGCTGGCCCTGGCGCGCCCCGTCCTCGCGGTACGGAGCGGGTCTGGCGCGGCTCCAAGAAATCCGCGCGGACTTCCAAAAGCTTATGCCGTTTTTTTTGTTGGTGAGGACCATCAGGGAGCATCCACAAATGCACGGGGAACGGACGTCTGGACGATGGCAGGTATGCGGCGGAGCAGGGGAGAGGAAGAGAGGGAACAGGGGAGACAGGAGGAGGGTAGACGATGGCACCGTGCTCGCTGAAGGAAGGGAGGCCAGAAACGACTGCACCCGTGGTTTCGAAGCATCTGGCGGGCGGACACGCCAGCGGCAGCGCGGCACCGACGCGCGTCGCCAGAGAGGCCGCCCGCAGAACCCGATGCGCCCACGCCCCCCCTCTTCGGCGCTCCTCCCCTGCATGTCTCGGGGCAGCACTACTCTGGTGGTAAGCAGCGATCGCGGGTGGGGCATCACCATCATCACCATAGGAGCCACCAGCAGCACAACCATCATCATTATCAGTATCATCATCGTCATCATCATCGTCATCTAGATCATCACCAGCATCATTATCACCATCATCAGAATCATCCTCATCATCTTCATCTTCATCAGCATCAGCGTCACCAGTCACATCATCATATCACCATCGTCATGATCATTCCCCTTCATCATCCATCATCAGCATCAGCAGCACCGTCATCGTCATCGTCATCGTCATCGTCATCGTCATCATCATCCGTCCTTTTCAACTGTCATGTCCATCTTCGTCCATCAGATTTACTATCATCATCATACTCGTCATAACTGTCACCATCGTCGCCAAGCACAACACCAACCATCATCCAGCTTCATCAGCATCTTTATCGTCTTCACCATCAGCATCATCGTCATCATCGTCCTTACCATCGTCACGTATCATGATTCATCAGCACATTATCGCCGCAGCATCGCTATCACCATTATCTGCACCTTAATCCATTATAAGCCATCGTCGACATAATCAGGGTCATCGTCGTCATCATCAGCACTATCATCATTAGCACCAGCATCATCATCATCATCATCATCATCATCATCATCAATAATCATCATCATCATCATCGTCGTCGTCGTCAGCACCACCATCCTTCTTCACCCATCATCATCAGCATCGCCATCGTTACCATCATCTTCGGTATCAGGCGCATCGTCATGATCACCACCATCACCTTCCACCATCATCCATCATCAGCGTCACCATCATTGCTTCCATCGTCATCATCATCACAACGTCGTCGTCATCGTCATCATCATCAGCAGTGTCATCTCTAGCATCCTCGTCATGCTCTTTATCGGCATCAACCCTCATACATCATCACCATCATCATCATCATCATCATCATCATCATCATCATCAACATAGTCATCATCACCAGCGTCAGCATCATCATCATCATCATCATCAATCATCGTCATCGTCACCATCACCTCCACCCGTTATCATCATCATCATCATCATCATCGTCAGCACCATCACCCGTCATCGTATATCATCAGAACCGTCTCATCACCGTCATCATCATCAGTATCATCGTCTTCCTCACCGTCATTACCACCATCATCTCTCTCATGGTCTTCATCATCGTCACCATCACAATCCATCACCATCACCCATCATCATCACCATCGTCATCATAATTTTCATCATCATCATTGGCACCATCATCATCGGCATCATCGCCATCCATCAGCATCCACCATCATCATCATCGCCACCATCATCATCTTGATTTTTCATCATCCGCGTCACCACCATCATCCGTCATCGCCCCCTTTCCATCCACGTCATCGTCGTCATCAAGATCAGCATCGTCATCATCACGGCCATCATCATCATCACCCGAATCATCATGACCAAAGTAGTCATCATTATCCTCCATCTTTGCACACCATCATCTTCGTACTCGTCATCGTCACCCTCATTACCGTCATGCGTATCAGCATCATCATCACCAGTGTCATCATAAGAAGCATCATCATCGTCATCATCCATCACCACACCTCATCATCGTCATCGTCACCATCATCGTCACTACCCCTTATCATAAGTCATAAACATCGTCATGACCTCCGTGTTCTTCATCATCGCCGTTGTCATCGTCAACATCACCAGCATCGCCATCATTATCATCATCCACCGTCATACACTGCTGTCATCACCTTCGTTATTATCATCGCCATCGTCATCATTATTACTTTCATCGCCGTCATTGTTATCATCCTCATCATCACCATCATCCGTTTTCAGCCACCATCATCGTCCATTGTCATTATCGTCATCGTGATCAGCATCACCATCGGCCATCGCCATAATCATCATGATCGTCATCATTACCATCCTGTGCCAGCCATCATTACCAACATCATTGTCATCGTCAGCACCATCATCATCATTATCGTGGCCATCATCCATCACCATCGATCATCATCATCATCATCGTCATCATCATCATCTTCGTCAACGTCATCGCCACCATCATCACCCTCCGTCGTTATCATCATCATCGTCACCATCATCACAACCAGCACGAACACCAACACCAACACTATCACCACCGTTGCCTGGATAGCGCCAGGAGACACAAGATCCTTTCGCGTTGTTGCTCGGCTTCGCGAGGGGGCTGGGGCACCTCGGCGGGCGCGGCGGGGGCCGCAGCCTACGTCCATGTCCACGCGGTCGACTTATAGTCAGCAGGCCGCCCAATAGTTGCGAGCAGTCCAGAATGGAGCTATGCTGCGGTACTCTGGTCTTCCTGGGCATCGTGGTGAAGCAGGTGAACATGGTTGTCGTCGACAGAGGCGCCTTGTGAGGAAAATCAGGATCGAGAATGGTTTTGCTGATTTGGACGTGGTCGGTGCCCAGCGTACGTACCGATATTCTGGACACGTCGGTTGGCTCATGGACATTTGTGTTATGCCAAGTATTGAATGAAATTGTCAGCCAGAGAGCCGTTTGAATTGCCAGAGAGTTTCAGACAGACAAAGCCATGGCCGGTTGCCGCCATGGTATGACGAAGCACAGCTGGCATTGTTTTCGGTCAGCGGTATCAAAAGGATTGGAAGGCTGATATATTAGATCGGAAATTGTTGCAAAGTTGCGAGCCAGAGCGGCTGCATCACATGTTGGGCGGTCTTGGATTGAAGGCAATATTGTAGATGGGGGCGATGGAGCACTTGCTCATTCATATCGGTAAAAGAACAAACCACATCATCCTCACCATCACTATCACCACCGCTACCATTCTTACCACCATCCCGATCATCACCATCATCAGCTTCATCACCACCACCACCACTTAGCAGCACCATCACCATTATTAGCGTCATCGTCGTCGGCACCATCAGCAGTATCATCTGCACTACTACCATCACCTTCACCACCACCAATAATATTATCATCACCGCCACCATCGGCATCATCATCACCGCCATCATCGTCCACCAAGATTAGCATCACCACCCATCACCACCCTCATCATCACCCATCATCGTAATTCTAATCGTCATCGTCACCCGCATCATCAATACCATCATCAACAACATCACCACGAAAACAACCACCATCACCACCGTCGCTTGGATAGTGCTGGGGCGCTAAAAATCTTTCCAGGTTGCTCCTCGGTGTCGCGGGGGGGCCGAGGCACCTCGGCGAGCGCGGCGGGGGCCGCATCCCCAGAGGCTGCGTTTGCGGGGGCCTCCAGCGCGGCGCGAAGGCCGCCCCTCGGAGGCCGCAGTTCCCAAGCCCTTTCGTGGCGATGAGGGGGCGGAGGCCACCGGTGGTGGTCTCGGCCTCCTGAGGGCCGGTCGAGGGGTGCCCTCGGCGCCGACGGATCTTAGGATTATGGGATTCTTAGTTGGCGCCGCGTGCCCCGGAAGCGGCAAAGTGGCTCCGACGCACCTCCGTGGCGAGGAGGGGGCACGGAGGCCACCAGTGGTGGTCTTGGCCTCTGGAGGCCCGACCGAGGCACCCCGAGGCCAGGACAATGATTGGAGTCAACGCGCGCAATAAAGATGCGGGACTATTTTAGGGTACCCGTTGTTTCTGCGGCTCGTCTTTTGCCGCTTCCACTGGCCAGCCTCGCAGGGTACCCTTGGGGTTCGGTCACCCACCGCCCGCCGCCCATCGATTCAGGCGAGTCGATGGTTGGAGGGGGTTGGGTTCGGATGGTAGGAGATCGTCCCCGCCAGCGGCGCCCCCATAGACCCTGGAATCCGAGGCTCCGAACAAATTGAGCGGCCGGTTTGGGGTTATTTTCTGCCGAGGTGTCGCGAAATCTCGTCGACGCCGATCCCGGACCCCCTTCGAGGCATGACAAAATGACGACGGAAGGTTTTTCGCTGTTTTCGGCCCTGGGGGCCCTGAGCGGGCCCCGAGAAAATAATTCTGGCACTAAAGATGCTGTGCAGACCTCTGGGGGGTTTACGCATCGAAGGAATTGCTGCACCGCATGTCTGGAGAGCCCCCACGTGAGTCTCCTGCTCCTGGATGGTGCCGTGGGCTCGCTGGGGTCCTGGGGCGCCTCGCGACCTCTGTGGCCAAAAAAGCGATGTGATCCTGTGTTTCGGCTGCGCAGTCTGCGCTGTCACTGCATTGAGCAGGGGGGGACGGGGGGGAGGAAGACGAAGGAAGGAGATGCCTCCGCAGGGCTGGGAGGCGTCTTTTTCCGCGCTCCCTCCTTCCTCCCTCAAGGCTGTTACAACGCCCCTCGTGCATAAGCAATTTTACCTGGCCGTGCCTACCTCCTCCTCCTCCCCGCTTCGGCCCTGTGCTCTTTTGCCATATTGTCCCTTGCCGGGCCGGTCGCCTGCCTGGCTTTTGGGTCGCTGCGTCACAGTAGCGGCGGAGGGAGGAGGCTGAAGAGGAGAAGGACGGGGAGGGGAAGGGGAGGAGGAGGAGGTGGCGGAGGTTCTCTACCGTCGTCACGGATTGCTCCACCCACCGCACCTACGTGGCCGTGCACGTCTGCTTCGTGCAGGACGGTCTCGAGGAGTTTGGGCTGCGCAGCCCGTCGCGATGTTCCCGCTGCCCCCCCCCCCCCTGGGCCCCCCTCCTCCGAGCCTTCGCCACACGTATGCTTGTTTCTGTTTAGGCCCCTCGGTGGACTCGCCCACCACCTTGGGAGCAAGGAGCTGCATGGTGCCGAGCAGGTACAGACAAATCCGCTAAAAGGGGCGCCTCAGGGAAGTGCCTAGCACCTCCGCGGCATCTCGCCTTCGAAGGAAGCGGGCGGAAGACCGGCCTGGGCCAGCGGAAGTAAAGCATCGGCGGCTCCGCTGGCGGAAGGCAGGCGGAAGACGACAACGTTCAAGTCAGATGCCAATGTAATTTTCGGCTTCAAGTCTTGGGAGTGGGCCATTCCTCGTCCGCCCTCTACTGCTCCGTCATCCTTCCTTCCCCCTCTGCTCATCCTCCTCGTCTCCCTCCTCCGCCACCCTATCCCCCTCGGCGGGGGTGCGGGGTGCGAATCTCGCACTCCGCCGGTTCTCGGTTTCCTCCTCCTCCTCCTCCTCCTCCTCCTTATCCTCCTCCCCCCACCGCCCCTTCCTCCTCCTCCTCCTCCTCCTCCTGCTCTTGCTCCTGTTCCTCCTCCTCCTGCTCCTCCTCCTCCTCCTCATCATCATCATCATTCGCCTCCTCATTTTCCATCTCTCACTCACCTCGTCGTTCTCCCTACCCGGTCCCGCTCTGTCTCTCCCCTACCTTATCTTTCCACCCGTCCCTTTTCTCCACTTGGGTCTCCCTGGGTGTTTTGACGAATCGTGCAACCCTGTGTGAATGATATACGAGAAGCCAGCACCGAATGCATATGAATGGAGGAACCCCAGCATCATACCGACGACGGAGAGGATGATGAGAAAAGGGGATGCAGAGAGGCGGGACAAACAGCGGACTGGCAAGGACAGAAGGCCTGGAGGGCGAAGAGGAAGCACACACGCCCGACGACGATGAAGATGTTGTTGGTATCGTTCGTGCAGCGGCGTACCCAGGATTAGACTGTCTGCGACAGGTTCGTGTCGTGTCGGCGCGGCGGCGACCTCGCCGCGGGCGTTCAAGGTTGAACGCCGCCAGTGGCCCAGATGTTGCCGACATGGAAGGACGTGGAGATCCAAAAGCCGCAGATCGTGCATGGTTGAACGACCGACGCGGTGTCAGAGACTAACGCCGGGGTCGTTCCGACACGAGCCTGCTGTACACGGTCCTTGGCCTCTACCTTGCGCCGCCCTGCGCGGGCACTGACAGCTCGCAGGTGCGCGCCGCCAGGTCCTCCCTCCCTCCTCCGCCGAGAGGCAGAGGAGGGAGAGAGGAGGAGGAGGAGGAGTGAGGGAGGAGAAGAGTAGAGGAGGAGGGAGGAAGGAGGAGGAGAGAGGGAGGAGGATGACTTCCCGAGGCCGTGGCCAGGAAGAGGGGGAAGAGGATGACTTCCCGAGGCCATGGCCCTGGGACAGCGTGACGCACAGGTGCACCGTGGCGTGGCCCTGGGACAGCGTGGCCCTGCAAAGCGCCAGCCCCAGACTCCCTCATGGCCCCTCAAGTCATGCAACGATCACGACGGGAGGTTTTCCTAGCTCCGGAGCCTTTACTGGGCGTCGGGACCGTCAAACATCGACTCGTGCTGAAACCTTGGCCCCGGGGAATGGGTCGAGACCTCTGGGGCTAGACGTGTGGACACAAATCACGACGTCGGGGGTCTGGGGCGGCAGCGCGGCGGCGATTGCCCTTCTTCCCGCGCACCGTATCGCCCAGCTGCCGAAGGTGCCACATTAAGTAGTCAGCTGCCGCTCTGGGCGCCCGCGGCCGCGCGTGGCGCCCGAACCTGCGAGTCGAACAGCAGCAAGAGGCGGTCCGTGTCCGCGGCGCCCCTGCAGCAGCTTGTCCATGTCTTGTCCGTGTCGTTGGCGTCCATGTAACCAGTGTCGACGATGCTTCCTTGGGGCATGTCGCCCTTCACGCCAGGGGTGGCCGGTGACCACGTGTTTCGGCCTCGCGGAAGCGGCAGCAGCTGCGCAGCTGGCCACCCCACGCTCAGCAAGGGCGAACCACCGCTGGCTCGGGAGCAAGTCATGGCAGCTTTACGTCGAGGGGGCGGTGGGGACGTCGGCAGTTTGTGAGACTCTGGAGAAGCCCGCCGCAGATTCCAAAGTTTCACAAATTATGCAACGAGCCCTTCGCAGGCGCCGATTTTTTCCTTAAACCGATGTGGGTAGGTCGCGGGTGGGTCGCTGTTGGGTCGCGGGTGGATCGCGGGCGGGTCGCAGATGTAGAGGGCAGAGAATCCACCCCCTATAATCACCCCGACAAGCGAAGCCGTTTAGTAAACGCACATAAGGGATGAATCGAACAGGGCAGAGTTGTTTGGTAAACGCCCAGGGACGTTTAGTAAACGTCAATTATCGGGTCCAGGTGTTTTTGCTTCCCTTGAGGGTGGGTCGTCGAGTTGGTCGCGGGGTGGGTCGCGGGTGGGTCGCGGGGTGGGTCGCGGGTGGGTCGCGGATGGGTCGCGGATGGGTCGTGGGGTGGGTCGCGGGTGGGTCGCGGGGTTGGTCGCGGTTGGGTCGCGGGTGGGTCGCGGGTGTGTCGCGGGGTGTGTCGCGGGGTGGGTCGCGAGGTTGGGTCGCGGGGTGGGTCGCGGGGTTGGGTCGCGGCATGGGTCGCGGGGTGGGTCGCGGGGTGGGTCGCGGGGTTGGTCGCGGGTGGGACGACGACAACAACAACAACAACAACAACAACAACAACAACAACAACAACAACAACAACCACAACCACAACCACAACCACAACCACAACCACAATCACAGCAACAACAGCAACAACAACACCAATAACAACAACAACAAAAACAACAACAACACCAGCATCAAAAGCAACAACAACAATAACCACAACAACAACAGTAGCAGCAACAACAACAACGCAACAACAACAACGCAACAAGCAGAATTCTCACGACGATTTCCTTATTCAGCCACGCACCCAGGGACAATGAATGACCGTTAGGCCCCCTCACTCTGACCTCTAAATTGCCTTTCTAGGGTGTGCTGGCGTGCGCGAGCGTCTGGTAAACGATAAGGAAGCGCCGATCTGGCGTCGATTAGCGTAGTTTCAATTGCGATCAGCGTCGATTAGCTTCGGTCAGCGTTGATTCACAAGGCCAGCAATATGGCGTGGGATGCTCACATGAGTTGCCACCGAAAGTTCAGGACTCGGTAAGACCGCGCTCCGATGAACCTACCAGAAGTGCACGAGATTGGGCAGCAAAGGCATAGTTGTCAGCGCCCCTGCGCGGGCGAGCTGCCGTTCGGATATGTGTAAGGCCGCACCTCGCTGGACTTCGCAGGAGTTCACGAAAGTGGCGACAGTTGCGCAGGAAGTATCCCCCGGCGAGAGCGAGCTACCGTTTGGATCTGGGTACGATAGGTTCGCGTCGTGTCGACGCGGATGCGACCTCAGTGCGGGCATTCAAGATTGAATGATGCTGTTGGCCCAAAGCTGGCCGGTATGGAGCGACTTGGCGATCTCAAGGCGGTTGGTCGGTCAAGGTTGAACGATCCACGCGGCACCAGGAACCACAGCCGAAGTCGTCACAACACGAATTGTCCGTAGGGCCACGCTCTGGTTGTCTTCGCAGATGTTCATGGGAGTGTTGGCAACCCACGGCGGGGGCGAGCTGCCAGTCGGATTTATGTCAGAAAGCACGCTGGACTCCCCAGAAACCCACGAACGTGGCGAGAGTTGCGCGGACGGCGGCCCAGCGGGGGCGAACTACTGCTTGGATCTGGTTAGGACCGCATTCCGTTAGATCTCCCAGAGCGAAGTGGCGACGGTTGTATGTGGTTACGATCTTGCTCCATTGATCACCCTGGAACTGACCAACGTGCCGACTGTTGTTCAGTTGGCAGCCCTGAGTGAGGATACCACCCTCAAGCTCACTGCATTCCCACAGTTACCAAAGCGAGGAAGCGCAGCTGCCAGGCGGGAGACGAAGAGGATCATGATGAGGACGAGGCCCTGTTCAAAACGATTACTCGACCAACGGGCGGTAGGGACACTTATAATCAAAACCAACAACTTCGGTGCCCAAAACCTTAGATCCTTGAAGCTCGAATCTTGATCCCCATACCTCCGACATCAAGACTGCTTCATAACTTGGACCCCTGGATCTATCGTCAGCTTCCTTGGGGTAGTTGTCATCCCGAGCAGATGCTTGACGGTTCCGTGGCCCAATGCGGACCCAATATGCCAGACATTATCAGGAACCGCCCGTCGAGTTTTGTTCACTGAGTGAGGGGTTCGGTCGCGATTTTTCGAAGGTTGGATTCAGCATCGACGCTGGTATATCCGTGGTCTGAAGCCTGCTAAACCTAGCCTGATCCAGATCATTTCTACCCCGCGTGGCCCAATCCCGTCGTAATCTTGTTTTGTGCGGCGTATCAGGTGGCTTTTTTCTGGTCCACTGGCTCGGTTATGTGGGTTAGCAGCCGTCCCCACGAAGACCTCACAGGAACAGGCCTCCCAACGAGAGGGCCTGGGTCCTCGCCCCCCCCGCCCTGAGATGATGCTCGAATCGTGGTGCCGTGGGGAAAACATTTGAGACATTGTACGTTTGTTTTTGTTGTTGCTTGGGGGCCAGTCGTTGTCTCCGTGTTGGGATTTTCGCTCGCGCCGTTTTCTGTTCGGTTCCAGGTCGTACAGCCGAGGTGGTCTTCTGTTTTGGGGCTGCCGTCCCCGCTTCCACCCGCGCTTTGGCTGGCCGAGAAGCGGTACATTGAAATCGAACCGGCACGGGGAAGTGAGGGGGGGCTGGCTTTCTCAAAAGGTTGGGAAGTTCCCCAGCCTTCTGAGAAGTCTTCTCCGCTGTCCCCGAAGACACTCTCGGAAGGTCGCTTCGCCTTTCGCCTGCGGACTCCAGGAGGAGGCCTTCGAGCCCCTGGTCACCTGCCTCTGGTCCGACCTGCCCGAGGCGCGCCTCGTCGCCGCCGCCGCCGGCGTCGATTCCGCCGTCGCCGTCGTCGTCGCTTGGTCGTCGTCGTCGTTGTCGTCGTCGTTCGTCGTCCTCCGCGTTCTCCTCCTCTTCCTCCTCCTCCTCCTCCGCGACCGCAACCGACATCGATGTAATTGAATGTATCCGATCGGCGTTCGAGAACACAGGCAATTCCACCGCGGATGTGTTGGCTAAGCTTGGGGCCGCTTTCAATACGCCAGAGGATTCTCACGTTGAGGTTGCTCGTGGCTGCAGGAGACTCCACAAAATGCTGTTACAATACTTGGGCAACTTTCAGGCGTGGCTGTACGACTGTACTCCAGAGGGGCTGGTCTACAATTTCCCTGGGAAGGTAGACGGACAGCCAACCCAGCCTGATCAGACTCGGCCAGGTTTGATAGATGGGAAACCTCCAATGGAGCTTGTTCTGGAGGATGAGCTAGATGGTTTCTTAGATCCGTCGAAGGTTGCCAATCATAGCTTGGTGGAATACCCAATGGTGGATTCGCCACAATTCATCATGTTCTGCACCACATGCTGCCAGTATGTTTGTTCGGATGTTCGTAAGTATCGAGGGCTGGCTCAGAAGTGCAAGAGTAAACACAGTGGCGACAGAGAAGCTGAAAATACGCGGCATTTTGATAACCGCAGGCACCCACAGTCGATTCGGCAGGAGGTGCGGTCGGAGCCGCCACGCTCACCATCTGGAGCAGCCCGCGACATTGTCAGGACGGCCAAGAAGTGGGAGCAGGAGTTCAAGGCTTCCCGAACCCAAGTCCCTCTGAGTAAGCAGCGGCTCCTAGACACACACACACACACTTATCCTAGCGATTGATCTCGGATACAGGGAAGCTCGTGTGCTAGGCCGTATTATTGAAGATGGTGGTGACCTTGAGGAGGCAGAATAAATGGTACAGTGCGGTGGTACTTGATCCGCGCAGGTGCTGTCTATTCGTGTATCTTTTACTTGTCGATGTGCAGTGGTGTGTGATCCGCAATGGTGTCGTCAACTCGTTTATCGTTCAAGTCCTGCCTCGTGCAGGTCATTTGTCGCGGCAGGTGTGGCCCTTCCTGGGCGCTTGGGATTGCAGCTACGCTGGCCCTTGCGTGCAATGGGTGTTGGACCCACCCATCCTTGTTTTGCCGTGTGCGGCTCGGCCTTCTGCGCGCCTCGTCGTGCTGGGCCTCCTGGAGTTCGGCCACCTCGTCGACTCACCGGGACTTGTGGGCTCCGTTTGCGCCATCTTGCTGCTGGTCCACGCGCGGCTCGTGTTCCAGGCCTCGACGCTGAGAGCCCTGTGGGAGGTCTTCCACGGGTCGGTGGGCCTCGTGCTGGTGAGCACGGGCCTGCCGCAGGCCCCGTGCCCCCCGGTCCCGCCGCGGGCCCCTTGCTTGAGGCACGCAGGTGCGTCTTCCTTGCACCTGGTGCCAGTAAGGTGGTCCTGGCCTTCAGGCTCCACTGTACTGGTGCTGGGGGGGGGGTGCTCAGGTGCCTCCCGCCCGCCTGACTCTGGATCCTGCAGCCCCTCGGCTCCCGCTCGCCCCTCCTCCTCCTCCTCCTCCTCCTCCTCCTCCTCCTCCTCCTCTTCCTCTTCCTCCTCCTCCTCCTTCTTCTCCTCCTTCTCCTCCCCCTCCTCCTCCTCCTCGTCCTCTCTCACCCACGACCGAATAAATCCTCCTTCTCACCCCCCCTTCCTTCCTCCCCTCCTCCTCCTCCTCCTCCTCCCTCCGCCTGCTCCTCCTCCTCCTCATCCTCCTCCGCTTCCTCCTCCTCCTCCTCCTCCTCCTCCTCCTCCTCCTCCTCCTCCCCCTCCCATGTGGGTAACAAAAACATCAGAAGGACGAGAAGCTGGTCGGATATCTTCTCTGTTCCGCCTTCTCGAGGCCTCCAGAGGCCCTTATCACGTCTGATGATCGTCGTCGGCGTCCCCAGACCCCCGACGTCGCGATTTGATCAGAACGTCGACCTACAGAGGTCCCGACCCGTTTCGCGGGACCTCTTTTTCACCCCGCGTCGTTTGTGGACGTTCCCGAGGCCCGGTGGGGGCCCCCAGAGGCCGAACATGGTGAAACATTTTCCGTCGTGATTTTTAGATGACTGGAGGGTGTCTGGGTCGTCCGAGCGTCGTCATCGCCGCACGGGCCCCTGGCCGCGCCCGCCTTTGGCCGGGTCCGCCTCGGGTCCGCACCCAGCCGGCCGTCCGCTCGCTTCAGCGGCCGCCCGCACGGCGAGCGCACGCAGGCCTGCCGCTCGTGGAGCCTCTGCGAGGCGCGCCCGGCCTGGGCGCGCACGGCCGGCCACGCTCGCTGAGGGGAGCAGCGAAGACGCTGCCAGTGATGCGCCGCCGATCGTAGCTCATCAGCGTGGCACTGCTGCGGGGGCACCTGGCCTGCGGACAGGAGCGAGTGAGGAGCACCAACGGCGGTGCATCATTGATGCTCTGTCTCCCTCCCGACTGAAAGAACTCGGCCGGTCCGACAGCGGACTCGAACCGCGGCCCCCCTCGGCGGGGGCAGGGGGAGGGGGGAGGGCGTAAAAAACACCCCTGTTTCTTAAAAGGCGTGGTCCTTGTCAAGAGATGTAGGGCTGGCCCCTCTCCGTACCCCCTTGTGCGCGCCGCCAATTTAGAGTTCGGGGGCAACGATCGGGGGGCACAGGCATAGGGGGGGCGCATCGACCCGAATCGCTTGCTCATCGCCGATAGGGATCTGATAGCTCCACCCCGCCCAGGAACGTTCGAATTTGATATCGGGGGCACATCGCCGATCTATCGGCGATGTATCGCCGATTCCAGGTCGATGTTCCGGTTCACGTGCCGCGCGACGGGATACGGGCCAGTTTTCTTATAACTTGGCGCCCTGGCGATCCTATCCCCGTGTGGGGGGACGAGGGAATTGGTGTCGTCACGATTCACGCAGGCGTCGTTTGTGAATTAGCTGCACCTAGCAATTTCCAAACGGCGCCGGCGCGAACCTTGACGATGCCAGGTGGGAGGGGTGACGGTGGAGCATTCCCAGCAACGGCCGTTATCGCGAGTCGTTGGGAAACGCGCTCTATAGGGTCACGTGCCTTGAAACTGGATACCCAATGCGTGCGCAGTACGCACTGCTTCAATCCGTATTGGTTCTCCCTGACCCAGACCCCCGAAGTCGTGATATTGTCATAACGTCGCCCCGGGAGGTCTCGACCCACCCCCCAGGACCTGCATCTCATCCGGGACATGTCTGACAGTCCCGCGGTGATTCTTTCATGACTCGAGGGGGTCCAGGGAGGAGGAGGAGGAGGAGGATGCGGAGGAGGAGGAGGAGGAGGAGGCGGAGGAGGAGGAGGAGGAGGAGGTCGATGGGTGATCTAGAATTCGGGGGGTGCTACGGGTGCCCCTGGCCCAAGGTGCTCCTAGCTTGCCGCTCCATGTTGGAGCCCCTGGAGCCCCTGGAGCCCCTGGGCCTGGTGTGAATGGCTGCTCTGGAGGCCTCGGCGGCCTGCTTGGAAGTCCTGAGGGCACCCTGAGCCAGGGGCACTTCTAGCAGAACGCCCGGGAAATGGCCGCCCGCCCCCTGCCGGACACGCCCGAGGTGGCTGCGCCCCCCTTCCTCGCGCTGCTCTCCGCGCTGCACGCCGCGGGGGTGGGCGAGGAGCGCCGGCGCGCCTCACCGCCGCCGACGCCCGTCGCCGACGCCGCTGCCGGCGTCGTCGTCGTCATCGTCGTCGTCATCGTCGTCGATCGTCGTGCTCGTCGTGCTAGTCGTGCTCGTCGTGCTCGTCGTCGTCTTCGTCGTCGATCGTCCTTGTCGATCGTCGTCGTGGTCGTCGTCGTCGTCGTCATCGTCGTCGTCACCGATCCACGTCGATCGTGGCCTTCCTGGCCTCGTCGTCGTCGACGGCGTCGAAGTCGACGAGGTCGGTGCCGGCGTGTCGGATGTTCTTTGGGCGTTTCGGATAGGTCTCGCCGAAAGTCGAGCAGTGTCGAAGCGTCCTGATTCGTTTAAAGGCCCACCACAGAATGGTTTAAGAGCCTTCTGTTTCTGCACGAAATATTAATAGAGCAATTCTTGCTTAGACCGCCTTGTTTGTGCATACATCGTTTTTATTTATATCATAAGCCTCATTCTCCGAATCCTTTCTATTGGAGTTATTTTTGCTCTAATAGCATGTTGTGGTAGGCGTGCTTAACGTGCGCTTCTGGATATTCTCGCCGAAAGAAGTGGCCAGGAAGGACCCTGGTGGGCTCTGGGAGGTGGTGCCGAGACCGATTCTGAAAGGAATTCGACGCGTCGTCGTCGCCGCCACCGCCATCGTCGCAGCCGCCGCCGTGGGCGTCGTCATCGTCGTCGTCGTTGTCGTCGCTTCGTGGTTCCAGTGTTGGGGTCCCTCGGTCGTTTCGTAGGACTTGTTCAGGCCTCCGAGGGTCGCCACCCGTGGATCCCTTCGACATGCGCCAGAACGCGCGCCCAGGGAGCCCCAGGGCTTGATGTTTCAAGGAGGCAGACGAGGAGGGATACGGGAGGAGCAGGCGGGAGAACGGAGGAAGGAACTTTGCGGGAGGGAGCAGGAGGGAAGATGTAGGATCGAGGAGGGAGGGGGAGGAGGAATGTGTGCGGATGGGGAGAAGCAGGGGGAGGAGGAGGAAAAGGACAAGTGTTGATTCATCATTGCGCTCGTACAGAAGGCCTCGACTAGGGAAGAGGAGGGAAACAATAAGACCACCAGCTTGCAAACGGATGGCGCAACCAACCCCTTTAAGGGGTGAGAGACCACCTAGCCAGGATCGCCTGCCGTCAACTCTTGAAACCCTAGACGGAGTCTGGCAAGTCCTCGCAAGACATGTAAGCAGTTCCCAACGCACCAGTTGATATTTCTTCAAGAGCCCAGCTTTCGGAGGTTACGAAAGCTTGACCGAACAGGCGGAGTCAGAACGCGAATGCCGCCACATTGGGTGTTTGTTCGACTTGCCAAAATGCAACTTCCAGCGTTGGCTGTTATCAAACCTGCAAACATGCACCCTTCAGTGCCTAGGCTGCCCTGGTCCGCCTTGCATCATATTCATCGCAAGCGCAAGGCAATCTGGAGCAATACACTATTGATTTGTATTCTTTATTCCAGCACCATCTCAATTTCTTGTTCATAGAATTGCTGCATGCACTCTCTCATTCGGCGTAAACTAGACTTCGTATGGGCACAGATGGGCCTGTTTCAGCAATGTCCCCAACGTTTACCAATGCGGACACCTCCCGAGATGCATCCGCAAATAATCCAAACACGACTGGCTCCATCACGATTCGTTGCCACAGAAATATCATGACGTCTTGAGGCCCAGGCCCTAGTGAATTGAGGACCGAACTGTGCCGGGATCTTTCCGATTCCCCCTGCTCGACTCGAACCGATTTCCCCGGCTGCCGATTCGAGCCACATGCGTCCACCACACCCAGTACAGCGCTTCGTGGCCCCATTGGGAGCCCCACCGAAGGCCCCGGTGGGGTGGCACCCAGTACAACGCTTCGTGGCCCAATACAGAGCTCCACTGAAGCCCCCAGTGGGGCCGCCCACGTGCGTCCCACACACCCAATTTGGCAGTTTCACCCACCCAGTACAGCGCTTCGTGGCCCCATTGGGAGCTCCACCGGAGCCCCCACTGGGACCGTCCGCGTGCGTCCCGCACACCCTATTGGCATTTCCACCCACCCAGTATAGCGCTTCGTGGCCCCATTAAGAGTTCCACCGAAGCCCTCAGTGGGACAGTCTGCGTGCTCCCCGAAAGCCCAAGTTGGCATTTTCACCCACCCAGTACAGCGTTTCGTGGCCCCATAGGGAGCTTCACCGAAACCCTTCGGTGGGACCGTCCGCATGCGCCCCAGAAGCCCAAGTCGGCAGTTTCACCCACCCAGTACAGCGCTCCGCGGCCCTATAGGGATCTCCACCGAAGCTCCCACTGGGACCGTCCGCGTGCGTCCCACATTCAATTTGGCATTTTCACCCACCCAGTACAGCGTTCCGTGGCCCCATCGGGAGCACCACCGACGGCCCCAGTGTTACCGGCCGCATGCGCTCCCCCCCACCCAGTGCAGCGCTTCGTGGCCCCATAGGGAGCTTCACCGAAGAAGATATTCACGATTGCGGTACCCACATCTGCCACAACTGCATATGGTTGGGTCCTTCGCCAGGATAATTTGCTCGAGCTCAGTATCGGTTCATTGCGTTCCTGTCTTCCTGGACCCAGCGCAAGATTTCTTCATCGTCATGAACGAGCACTTGTCCGTCATAATATTGGAAAGAGCGTGTTCTACCGCTGCTGGCGGAAAACCGGGGGGGGTCACTACCGGTTCGAACCCCCCCCCCCCCCTCCGGAAAACCGGGGGGGGTCACTACCGGTTCGAACCCCTCCCCCCCCCCCAGCTCATCATGAAAAGGGGGGGGGGTCACTACCGGTTCGAACCCCCCCCCCCTCGAAAACCGAGTGGGGGTGCGGACAGTGGTGGGGACGGTGTTGGTGGGGACAGTGGTGAGGGGACAGCGGGACAGTGGTGGGGACAGTGGGGGGACAGTGGGACAGTGGTGGGGACGGTAGTGGTGGGGACAGTGGTGGGGACAATGGTGGGAACAGGGGGGACAGTGGACAGTGGTGGGAACGGTGGTGGTGGGGACAGTGGTGTGGGGACAGTGGGAATGAGGTGGAAACAGTGGGACAGTGGAGGGTACAATGGTGGTGGGGACAGTGGTAAAGGCGGTGGCGAGGACGGCGGTGGGACAATGGGACAGAGGTACAGTGGGGACAGTGGTGGGGACAGTGGGGACAGTGGTGGGAACAGTGGGACAGCTCAGTGGGACAGCGGAGGAGTCAGTGGGACAGTGGGGACAGTGGGGATAGGCAGTGGTTGGGTCCGTGGAGACAGTGGGGAGAGTGGAACCGTGGTGGGAACAGTGGTGGGAACAGTGGGGACAGTGCGACAGTGGTGGGGGCACTGGTGGGGACAATAGGGACGGTGGTGGAACCAGTGGGGACAGTGGTGGTGAGGACAGTGGTGCTGGGAACAACAGTGGGGGATGTGATGCGAGCGGTGGTAGGGACCGGGAGTCGTTTGCTGGCGGTGCGTGGCGTGGGGGGGGGGTCGAACCGGTAGTGACCCCCCTCCGGTTTTCGAGGGGGGGGGGGGGGGGGTTCCAACCGGTAGTGACCCCCCCCCGGTTTTCCGGATCCGGAGGGGGGGGGGGGGGAAGGGGTTCGAACCGGTAGTGACCCCCCCCGGTTTTCGAGGGGGAGGGGGGGGGGGGAAGGGGTTAGGGGAGGGGGGGGTTTTGCCGGGAGGAGGGAGGGGGGGGGGGGGAGGGGTTCCCTCAGGGGGGGGGGGGGGGATTTTCGGAGGGGGGGGGGGGGGGGAGACCCCCGGGCTCCGGAGGAAAAGGTTTGCAATTTTCCACAGTAAAGCGGCGGTGGGTCACGCTCTCTCTAATATTGACTACAAACTTGACGGTTGTGCCGGTCCAGCAGGGTACACGACATAACGCCTTGTTCAGCCTTCCCACCGAGTTGCAAGGGTCCTCCTGCCATGCAGGCGTGCTTCAGAAACTCTGAGGATAATAGTAATAATACCTCTTGTTCGTTTGCCCACGGCCATTGTTGGCATAGCTCACTCTGAGTCGGAGCATCAGAGAGAAATTCCTGCAGTCGTACGCCCCCCCCCCCCCGCAGAGTTCCTGAACGAGCGCGGCTTACCTTCACTCCGGATCGTTTTTTGGAGCTGCGTGAGCGACGCCGCGTGCACCTTGAGTTCCTGTCGGATATTGTCGTGCTGGCTCTCGCCGATCTCTGGCTTAAGTCCGTCTCGGCATTGTGTGCGCTGTTCCAGGTTTTTTTTTCCGTAGGGTTCTGTTATTGTTCCTGCTGGGGACAGATCGTTTCAAATGCTCTTTCCAAGCGTCACCTGGCCACATCTGGCGTAGTGACACTGCCCATGCTCCGTCCTGTTATACCAGTTTCCTGTCCACCTCCTTGAGCAGCTCTTGCCTCCACCATACAGTCCCAAACCATCTCATGAGCCTGTCCCTGTCGACCTTCTCGTCACGCTCTGGCGTAGCATGATGAAAACAAAAGGACACTGAAGCCTCTAGACCCAGTGGGATATGATCACGGTGTCCACGCGCCTTGATGCTTTGCAGACGCTTGGTAGGGCCGTGCAGGCACGAACAATTTGTGATGTACGGGCGGGTGCCAGCCGACATCATCATGTGATCAATGTTGCTGCTGCTGCCGCTTTTTGACCCGTAACATACCGGTCCCACCGGGGGAACGTGGTGCAGATCATCAGCTCATTGCGCACGCACATCTCCCTGAAGTGTTTGCTGGTTCGCTGTTCGAGACGCACGGTAACATCTCCGACTGGACGACCGCGGTCGACGATACCAACGCCATCTCCATCTTGCTATAGCCATACATCCGAATTCATGCCTCCCCCGACCATAACAGTTGCACGTGTTAGTAATAGATCGATGCGGTCCTCAACCCAGGCAGTGATATGTTTGGTTATCTCGGCGTGGTGCTTGTCATGTACTGCAGCAGAATCAACGTCGATTATGGAAATAATAATGTTTTTTTCTCCTCCTGCCGAGTGCCTGAAACACTTCCTTGTAAGCGTGCAGGTTGTCGAACAGACGGTGCTATGAATGGCGTTTCTGAGTATGTGATGAAATGCGAGGAAGCAGGTGCAAAAACTAGAGTTAATTATACGCGTACTTTGTAGTAATCGGTGCTCCAGTGCCGAAGGTGACTGTGGTATTTATCGACGTGGTTGCTGAGTGTTTTTTGTTGGGGTGCCATTCAAAAGGATTGAGTTCCAAGAGTTCAGCTTCGCAGAAATGTCTTCGATTCTGTCAGAGTAGATATTATCCAAAGGATTATAGGTGCAAGCGCGCATGCATGTTCGGTGGTGTACAGTAGACTGATGAAGGGGAAGCGTGGGAAGCGTGAGTGATGCACCCCGACCCCCCTTCCCGTGCCCTGGATGACGAAGGAGACGGTGGCGCCCCGCCCAAAGCCTTCTAGCATGGCCTGCTGGCCGGCTGCGCTGGCTGAGCTCGCAATGGCGGCTGGGAGGAGGAGGAGGAGGAGGAGGAGGAGGAGGAAAAGGAGGAAAAGGAGGAGGAAGAGGAGGAGGGCAGCGAGGGGCGAGAAGGGCAGGGGCAGCGACGGGGATGGCAGCTATCGAGGGATCGGCAGGCAGGGTGGCACACCGCCAGCCCGCCAGGGTTCGGCACAGAGCGCCGCTTGGAGCCCGGCCCGGGCCGGCTCCGCCGCGCCGGGTGCGTGGGCAGAGCGCTTCGCGCAGCTGTGCGGCTGGCTCGTGCACGAGGCCGCCTGCCACGCCCCGCGCAGGCTTCCCCATGTCCCCCCCCCTTCCAAGACCTCCCCCTCATACTTTTTCTCCTCCTCTTCTACTCTGTCTCCTCCCCTTCCTCCTCCTTCTCCTCCTCCCCCTCCTCCTCCTCCTTCTCCTCTTCCTCCTCCTCCTCCTCCTCCCCCTCCTCTTCTTCCTCCTCCTCCTCCTGGGAGTGCGCCGGTGCGCTGGCGCGGCACGCGTGCGGCGCCCTGGGGAATTGAAGTCCGCGCGCCTTTGTCGTCACGTTTTGCCGGTGGCACCCTTGCGATGGCTTACCTGGTACGCCGCCAGGGCTCGGACGGTGTCGAGGTCCCCGATTGCGGACTCATTGATGGAACGTCACCCACCGCTCCCATGGTCCAGGTCCCCCGCATGGGCGCGGGTGGGGATGAGCGGTCGCCCAGGGGAGTGGCGCCCCTCGGGAGGCTTACCGGGGCGGCACGGGATGGGGGCTGTGTATTTTTTTGCGCGGCGACCTCTCCCGCAGTTGTTTTTTTGGGCGGTTCGAAAATGGTCAGGTCGGCGCGAGAGCCAGGGGGCGCGTTTTAATTTACGGTACGGCAGCGTGAGATAGTGGGCAGGAATCCCCGGCATGGTTTGTGCGTGCTTCATTCGTGATTTGTGATAGTGCGAGGGCATATTGATGCTGTATCGAAATCCCCACTTTTTCCGGTCCCCACAGGGATGCTTTGCGGAGTGGTGCTGCTGAGTGTCATCCTGAGGTGCTGCTGAGTGCGGAGATTGCGCAGCATGCAGCCCAGCGGACCGAGGCGACCGTCGGGCGCGCTCACTTTTGCCAACTCAATTGCGCCATGGTGGGCCATCGTGTCGGCGCCCACGGGGCGAACGCACGCGCTTGTCGAGATCGGCGCCGACCCCGCGCAAGCCCAGCGCAACCGTGATACCGCGGTCGCCGAAGCCGAGGACCTCGGGAGCCTCGCCAAGACCACGGAGAGTTTCGGCAGCAGGTACGTCCCCGAGGAGCTGACTCGCTGACGCCTACTGCTGCGGCAGATGCACGGCCTGAGTGTCGAAGACCTCGAGCAGTTCAATGGCGCCGCGGCCTGCTGGGCTGCGCGCGCTGCAGGTAGGCCACAGACCCAAGCATGACGCCAGTGCGCCAAGTGGGTCAGCGCCGCCTGGAAGACGGCGCAGGGGCTCGTCCGCAAGCAGGTCAAGGGCGACGACATGCCAACGGCCCTCGAGGCCGCCCTGCCCCGCGAGACGGCGGCCGACCCCATGGTGCAGATACAGCGCCTTGAAGCCGCGTGGGATGCTGCAGTATGGCGATCCCCCTCCTTCGATGGGGGGAAGCTCGAGCACTGGCCCCAGCGCGCGGCAGCTCGTGCGCAGGGGGGGGATCTGGAGAAGCACGCCGCGCAGAGCGCATGGCAGGCGCTGCTGGCCATCTCCGCCAGGAAGTCGATGGGCGCGGGCGCGTCGCACAGCTCGGATGTCTCTCGTCTTCCTCATGTGGCAGCGCAGGAGTGGGTAGACAAGATGAACCAGGTTGGGCAAGACTTGGCGTGGCCGAGGCAGATATCAACTACCATCCTGGCTTTCATGCCCAAGTCCCGAGGCGGGGGCCGCGCGATAGGCGCCCTTCCTTTGCTGATCAAGTGGTGGTCGAAGGCGCGCTCGTCAGACACGGGCGCCCTGTCCGACGGCCCCGGGCAGCGCTGGGTCGCCGGCGCCAAGGGCAGCGGCGCACTGCGCGCCGCCCTTTGCAGGTCCTTCCTTGACGAGAACGCGGTGGCCGTGGCAGTCTGCGCCATCGAGGCTCTGTTGGACCAGGGGGAGTTCTTTGCCAGCGCCGACCTCATCCTGTTGCTGGGGGGCGCGGAGCAGGAGGCGTATATTGCCGCGGCCATCACCTCGGAGGCTCAGGCCAACCTCGCGCCGAGGCGGCTGCGACAGCATAGAGGGGCCAGCGGGGCCATCGAGGCGGAGCGCCCCATTGTGGCAGGCAGCAGCCAGGGCGCGAAGGTGGCCAAGCTCTTCCTGTACCCGCCGCTCTAGGCGGTCAGCTCGGGCGCCCCCCACTGTCGGCCTCAGCGCCTTCGTCGACCACGCTATCTTCCGCGTTGAGGGGGACAATCATGCAGCCGTCGACAGCATTGGCGGCGCTGTGCAGATCTTCGCCAAGCAGCGCGAGACCACCAAGCTCACGCAATCCCCCAAGTCCATCGTAGTCTCTTCTAACAACGACGCTGCTAGGAATACGGCTCAAGAAACCGTGCGCAATGGGGTGCCAGCTACTGCGGTCTGCCGCGCCGTTGATCTCGGAGTGAATATCGCAGCGATCAGGAGGCGCACCCAAACCAAAGCTAAGTAGCCAGGTAAAGCGGTGGCAAGGCGAACCCAGGGCATCACCCGTCGCATGAGGAAGCGTGCGCAGCTGGGCAAGTACGCCACCAGGTTGCCTCGCAAGGGGGCTCGGCCAGCGCTGATCTACGGCCGCCAGGTTCTCGGCGCGGCCCCCTCGATCGTCTTGGGACTACGACGACTGGCCGCGCGGGCCGTTGGTGGCAGGTGTCTCGGTGGATGCTTTAATGCCGCCCTTGCCGACCCTGGTCTGGCGTTGCCTCGGCAGTTGCCGGCGCATTGGTAGCGACATCGGCGTCGGCACCTTGGGCGCCGTCGTCGAGCGCAGCGGGCGTGGCGCATTCTGCGCGCGGGCCTCAAGAGCCGCCCCCCCCGCCAAGAGATGGGCCAAGGTCAAGGGCGACATCTCGGCGGTCATCTGCGCGCTCCTCGCGATCGGTTGGGGCGCGACTCAGGCTGCGGAGTGGGGGTCGGATATTTGCGAGGTTCGGGAATTGGCGCCCTCGAGGAAGTGGATGACGCCGAGTTCCCCGACGAGAGGGGGGCCAGCATCGAGCGCGACCGGCGGGCGAGAGCGTCACGGCGCGAAGCCGGCGCGGGTCTTCAGGGCGGCGCCGACTTGCGCCGGTTTCGACGGCAGTGGGCACGTCTCCAGAGAGATGGCTAGCATTCTATGCGGGCGCTTCTGTTGCAGGTGGTCGCTGGAGCGTCGCGGCCACGAGTAAGGCAAGAGGCTAGAGGTCTTTCTGAGAACGCTCTCTGCCCACGATGCGGTCAGCAGGAGACGATGTTTCACCGTGCATGGTCTTGCCCGCGCAACGTGAAACGCGCCGACTGCACCTCCGCGCAGGGCTTGCTGCCGCACGCGCTGGAAGGCCTGTGCAGACGCCCTGCCTGTGGCTGCGCGGCGTGCCGCCCGCCTGCTGGACCAGGTGCACGCGCCCCAAGGGCGCCACTCTGTCTGCGGGGGGCACGGGCGGCGCAGGCAGTGGAGGGCTGGCGGCGCAGCGACGGCTACCTGGACGTGCTCGGCGACGGCTCGGGCGGCAAGTAAAATTACGATCCCAGGCTACGCCAGCGCGGGGTCGGAGTCTCCATCCCGCGGCGTTCTCCGAGAACGCAGAGGCGCCGCAGGAGATGGCAGGCATCGTGGCAGGCATGCCTGGACCTCGCCAGACGGTGCCGCGCTCGGAGCTCTTCGCCTTCATCCTGGCCCTGCGCTGCTCCGTCTTCCCCTTGCGGCACCACGCCGACAACGGGCCGCTCGTCCAGGGATGGGCCCGCAGGAGGCGCCTGGCCCCGCAAGCCGAACGCTAACCTGCGACCTCGCTGTGCGAGTAGAGCTGAAAAAGTGATGTGCGGACCTTTTTCTCCATCGCCATCGGGCTGAGGAGGTGACGGGTCATGGGACCCCCGTCCAACTCTGGCAAATCTCGGGCAATTCTTTTGCGGACCCGAACGCGGGCGAAGTTGCCGCCGAGGTCCTGCGTAAAGCCACCGTGAAGCCCGAGGTCGGACGCACCGATGCGATTGCCCACCTTGTGCGTCGTCGCGCGGCCCGCGCCGATTTAGCCTGCGTGGCGATCGGCCCCATCAAATCCAGCTATGAGGCCAAAAGGCCACGCCCTTGTACTCGGGCCCTGCTGGCTGCCTCGTCGCACCACCATTTGGAGAGAGTGGGGGCGACGTGGTACTGAGTGATCTGTGTTTGTACGGCCTTGCACGCGGACCTGGAGTGGTTTGCTCAGTCCGAGCGCAGGCCCATTCAGTTTGCTAGAGCAGGAACGTTGTGCTTCCAGAGCGGCGGGGCTGGAGCGGTTGGGGTTTCGTCGTCGTCGTCGCCGCGAAGTGTGGGTGGGAACGCATTGCGTGGTACGCACACCCTCCTGTATATCGATTGTATGAACCGCACGTTTTGTAGTCGTTGTGGGTGCTATGCCAGGATTTAGGCGGATACCCTGGCAGTTGAATGTCTCCTGTTGGGGCGGCCGCGCATGGCTAAAGGCAAGCAGAACTTTGCCAGAATCAACAACGGTTTTTGGCCGTATCCCGTATCCCAAAGAGATGCCCGTAAACATCCGTAAGGCGTTGCATATGAGGGATGCGCAGCGCGCTATGGTTGAGGCCAATCGAATGGCTGTGTAAGTGGGTCCTCGTACCTTCAGCGTTTCAGGTAATCCTTACAGTTGATCCTCCTCCCCCGTCCTCCTCTTCTTCCTCCTTCTCCTCCACCTCTTCATCATCATCATCATCATCATCATCATCATCATCATCATCATCATCATCATCATCATCATCATCATCATCATCATCATCATCATCATCATCATCATCATCATCATCATCATCATCATCATCTCCCTTTTCCTCCCTCCCCCTCCTCTTCTTGAGCCTCTTCGCAGGCGTCCCCCGCAGACCAGGTTCACCGAGACCGTGGCGCTGCCGTCTTGCTGGATGATTTGGAGTGAACGAATTCCTCCCCCTCCCTTCCCTCGCAAGACACGCCCGCGTCGCGGAACAATCACAACGGGAATGTCGTTGGCCGTTTTCGGCCTCGCGGGGCCCTCGCAGGGCCCCAGGATTGTCAGAGACCGGCCCGGGATGAGAGACCGGCCCCTGGGAAAGGGTCAGGCCCGTGTTCCCCCCAAAAATACATAGAATATCTGGGTCTGTTGTCGTTTCATGTTCCCCTTTTTTTCTGTTGCTCCTTACTTTTCTCTTGTTCTCTCTCTCTTTCTCTCTCTCTCTCTCTTTCTCTCTTCCTATTTATCTCTTTCTCTGCCAGCACGGGGATGGGAAGCAGGGCGCGGCAGCAGGATGAGGAGGGAGGCGGAGGCGACGGCGGAGGGGGGGGGGGAGAGAAGGAGCAGCAGGAGGATTGGAGGCTTGATGATAAGGAGGAGCATTCAGCAGGAGGATGCAGCAGGCAGCGGCGGCGTGCGCAACGTGATCCCATCTTCATACCCCTCTTGCCCCTTCTCCCTTCATCCGTTCCCAGGGGGCTGATCTTCCACCCTGGGACACCCACTCACTCTTGCTCCATAGCAGTTGGCACGCAATCCCTTTCAATCCATTCGTTTCCTGATTGTTGTGGCCAGCCACCCTGCAGGCCGTTCAAACTTCCAGCAATCCAGAGGTATCATCATTATCCTGTGATCAGCACCCGAATTATCGTCATTGTCATCGGCATCGTCGTCGTCATGACCATCGCCACCAGCATCTTCATCACCATCGCCACAATCAGCATCATCACCATCAACACCTCCACCATAACCATCATTGCCACCAACATCACCAGCATCAGCATCAGCATATTCATCCTCAACATCATCAGCATCCCCGTCAGCATCATGAACATCGTCATCATCATCATCATCATCATCATCATCATCATCATCATCATCATCATCATCATCATCATCATCATCATCATCATCGTAATCATCGTCATCATCATCATCATCATCATCATCATCACCATCACCATCATCATCATCATCATCATCATCATCATCATCATCATCGTCGCTATCATCATCCTCACCATCATCGTGACAATCATTGTCATCACCAGCATCATCATCATCGCCACCACCTTCACCATCATCATCACCATCATCACCACCACCACCACCCCCTGGCGCGTGGAGGTCCCGGCGCCCCCGCCCGGCGCCGCCCTCTGCCTGCACGGCGGCGGGCTCGGCGGCCGGCGCTGTGTCGCGCGCGCACCGCCGGGCGGCGCGCCGGGCGCCCACGTGCCGGCGCGCTGGGGCGGTAGTCGACGTCGTCGAGGGTTTGTTTTTGTAGATTGTTGTATTTTTGTTTGTAGATTATTGTCGTCGAAGGCTTTTTTAATTTCGATGTTTGTAGATGTTTGTAGATTTTGTTTTCTTCATGATTTTGTTTGTAGTTGTTTTGTAGATGTTCGCGGGCGCGGTGTTTGTTTTTGTAGATTTTTGCAAGCTCACAAGCGGCTGGAGGTATACGATCGAGGTCGGCTCGGGGAGGGTGCTCTGATGTTCTGTGTGTTTGTTGGATGTGTGTTGAGCATCCCGAGGAGGAGACCCTTGGATGTTCAGCGGGAGGTCTCGAGTTGAAGAGGGATGTTCCTCTCATCTAGGTCCGACTGTAAAATTATTGCAAGTTTACTTGCGTGGCATTTCTCTCCCCCCCTCTCGCCCCCCTCCGCTACATTTCGAATAGCGCTTGGCCGAGAAGGCGTTCAAGCGAGTCGAGTCCCGGCTTCCGTGAAGGTTTTCCGTACGGGCTTCGCCACGCCCCCCACCTCTTCCCTCCATGCAAGTAAACTTCCCGGAATCCAAAGACAAACGCTTTCTCGGCGTGTCGACGTCGTCGTTGTCGTCAGATGGCCAGTCGAGGCAACAGCGGCCCTCCCTGGCGTGTTCTGTCCTTCTTGGCCTTCTGGTAGCTTCTCGTCGCCACGGCCAGATCCTCCTCGGCAGCCGGGCCACCCTGAACCCTGAGATGGGTCTGGGGATCGATCTTGGGCGCGTCTGGGCCGGGCGGGAGTGTCGCCGTTGTCCCAGTTGGCCCTCGTCCGGGTCGAGGATGCAGGATGGAGCTTCGAGGGGCGAGGGTGGCTTGACCCTGGTGTGGGGGCTCGGAGCGTCGTGGAGGGCGTTTCCATGGAGCAGGGGAGGGGATGACGTCGGCGACGTCGCCGTCGTCCCCTCGGATCCGGGCGTCGCATTTCTGTGTTCGCAGCCTGGCGTGTGCGCCCGGCCTCGGGCCTCGCGAGGCCTTGCTGAGCGGGCCTGGCTCGAGGAGTGCGGCCAAGGCTCCGGTCGTGTTTTTTCCGCGGTGCTACGATGTCTTGCTCACGTCGGATCTCGGGGTGGGCGCCGTCGTCGTCGGCGTCGTCGTTTCGGTGGTGTTTTTCTGGCTTTTTCTGGAGGTTGCCGTCGCCACGGCGGGGCGCAGCCCGAGGAGCTGGCCAGGCTGGATGGACCCGCGACAGTTCTTCTTGGCATGTTGGACGTGTCTTGGTCAGCGGCGGCGACGTTTGACGTCTTCCGGCCTGCGCCACGGCTGGTCTCAGGATCCTGGCCAGGACGCGCTCCCAGAGAAGGCTGGTGGCCGATTTTCGAGGTGTCCGTCGCTGTCGACGTCCGCTCTCTCCTCACCAGACCCTCGTCGTCACGAGTTTGTCACAGCGTGGACCCCCAGAGGTCTGGACCCCTTGATGTTTCGTCCCAGGCAGTTGTTTGACGGTCACGAGGCCCGACGAGGGCTCCAAGAGGCAGAACATCTCCAACACACAAGTCCGCCGTGATTTTTTCGAGACTCGAGTGGGTCTTTAGAGCCCTCTTATACACATCCTCTTTCTGCCCATCCCGGTGTGGCGGGCTGTCGCGGGCATGAGCGTGGGCATGCTGCTGCTGGCCGTGCGGCTTTTGCTCCTGGAGCAGAGAGTTGCCTTCGTGTCGTCCTCGGCCGCGCAACTGACCAGCGTCTGCGAGGCCCTCAGCCAGGTGCCTGGTAAGGTTTCGAGTTGCGCACGGCCCAGCCCCCCAGGTAGTCCTGGATGGCCTTAACAGGCCCCCCGAGTAGCCTTAGCCGGCCTCAACAGGCCCCAGGGTGGTCTCAACACCCTGGCGCCGCTTCTGGCTGCGCCCCAGGGTTGGGGTGTTGAGACCATCCTGGGCCTCTCGGGTCTAAGCCCGACTGGTGGGCGTAGCACAGAAGGTGGGGCCGGAGTAGGTGCAATAGTGCTTGCAGTTGTTCTTGCATGTATTTTGCGGATTGGACCAATAGTTGCGCAAGTTTAACGGACTCAGGGGGGGGGAAATAGAGCGAACGCTATATCCTACCGTCGCTGCCTGGGCCCAAGGCAGCGCTGCCCTATATGCTTGGCTCACACTCGCGAGACACTCGTGAAGCTGAGCGTCGGATGAAGGCCACATCCACCGATGGTACATCTCTCTATCCCATGCCTTATGTATGGTCTTTCATGGTGCCTGCCATCAAGGGAGAAGCTCTGGGATACCTCGATACGTCTCCGACGTTATCCTAAGAATCGGGTTTCCCCTGACCTTTGCTTTTGCTTTTCATGTGGTAGAGGAGCCGGCCTCATCTGCTTGTGGCTGGCTCTTACATCAGGTGTCATGGACATAACAATCTACCACGGCACAGTATAATACCCGACTGCGACGGCTCTCAACCACTACACTCCCAATTCTCATCAACCAAGTGGCAATCTACATTCCCACCCTTCTATCCCCCCGCCGCGTGGCAACACGCCACGCACAGACAACACACCTGCACCCACCCGCAAAGTGACAGCCACGTCAGACCAG